TTTCCGTTAGTTTTGAAAGAATGACGCATCTGACGTTGGTTCAACGTTAATTCGATGAGCAAAACAATGTCAGATCAACGTTGTTTCGATGTCATATTTCCACGTTGATTCAATGTCAGTTTGCTATCTGGGCAGTCTTTTCAAGGATTGTGACAAATAGTTTTTCCGATAAAGAATCATACAAAACCACCAACAGGAAACTAAACATTTATCCAAGACCAAATACAGTCTTTGTTGTTTTGGGATTTGTGTACGCACTGCTGATGCAGTGAAGGAACCTCGAGCTCTTGATCTGAACAAATGCTCCTCATGTGTCTGACATGGGAATCAAAAACAGATGAGAGACACGACCACATTTCATCTGAGTAACATATATTTATTTAGAGCAGGCAGAGAGAAAATGCTCTGCTCTGTTTCATACCAAGCTGCCTATTATACAGTATTTTAAGACATTTGAGCCAATTATGTAAGACTTACTTATATGCGATATTATGTAGTATGAATGCACTGACAAGCATTTCAAAACTTCATTCTTAGGAGTAGTTCACTTTTAAAAAACTTTTGCTGATAATTTACTCACCCCCATGTCATCCAAGATGTCCATGTCTTTCTTTCTTCAGTCGAAAAGAAATTAAGGTTTTTGATGAAAACATTCCAGGATTTTCCTCCATATAATGGACTTCAATGGGAACCAAACGGTTCAAGGTCCAAAAGACACTTTCAGTGCAAACTACGAACTGTTCAAAGGGCTTTAAATGATTCCAGACGATGAATAAGGGTCTTATCAAGCGAAACGATCGCTCATTTAATAAATAAATAACAAAGTTTAAGTTTTATAAGCTCAAATGGTCGCCTTGCTCTGTTCTGTGTGACTCTCCTGTTCAAACTCGTTCATCAAAATGAACGAATCTTTTTTCGTGTCATTTGGTACATTCAACGAACGGAATGAACAAATTGACTCAGAAAAAGATTCGTTCATTTTGATGATCGAGTTCGAACAGGAGAGTCACGAATGCGCATCGCAGAACAGCGCAAGGTGAGCATTTGAGCTTATAAAACTTAAACTTTGTTATTTATTTATTAAATGAGCGATCGTTTCGCTTGATAAGACCCTTATTCATCGTCTGGAATCATTTAAAGCCCTTTGAAGCTGCACTGAAACTCTCATTTAGACCTTGAACCGTTTGGTTCCCATTGAAGTCCATCAAATGGAGAAAAATCCTGGAATGTTTTCATCAAAAACCTTGACATGGACATTGACACGGGGGTGAGTAAATTATCAGCAAAAGTTTTTTGAAAATTGAACTACTACTTTTTGAAAAGTGTACTAATACATTTTTTACACACTTAAGTGCACATTTTCCAATCATATTACATTATCTTCAAGCACAGTGTTTATATGTATACTTCAAAGATTTGGAGTGCACTACAAGTTTATGTAAGCTACTCCAAATAGGTCACTGGGTCAGTGAGACACGAGACCCGAATCCTGCAGAGACAAACCTCATGAACCCAACGAAAGCGATGTTGCATCATACTAAAAATGTCTTTTAGCGCAAAATGTAACATGTGAGGTTGAAGATTCACACAGCCAGTCAAAGAGAGTAACATGCAACCGGATTTATAGGACAATTCTTAGCGAGATGAAAGGACTAGCATGCTTTGAGAGAAAGAGGGTTCATTCGGGGGAGGGAGGCCGCAAGAAGAAGGAATGAGAGAAAGCGAGGGAAAAGAGGGAAAGGCAGAGGAGGAGACAGGGTGGAAAGAGGGAGGGGAGAGCGAAGTGTGTGTTTGTAAAGATGTGTATTGAATGAGTGGGCCTTGTGTAGCAGTATGTGTGTTTGTGTGTGTGTGTGTGCAGGAGACAGAACCACTAACTGACTCCACAACCTCAAACCCAGCACAAGCCACCTTTGTACGCAGACACGTGTGAGTTTTCGCCTGTGTAATGAGAGGAATGACAGTGTGGAGAGCTCAATGCTGGAGTCTGCCGGCGCTCCTGATCCTGATCTCTCCGCAGGGAAATGCCCACCCGCAGTGCCTGGACTACAAGCCTCCGTTCCAGCCTCTCGAGCCCCTGCTCTTCTGCAAGGACTACGCCAAATTTGGATGCTGTGACTCAGACAGGGATAACCAAATCTCCCAGCGCTTCAACCAGATCATGGATTACTTCGATCATTCGGGGTTCATGGCCTGTGGGAAGTACATCCGCAGTATTCTTTGCCAGGTGAGTCTCAGGTCAGGAATTAAATAACAGCATGTGGATATTTGAAGAGTCCAGATGCAAAAGCCTCTATGCCATTTGAAATTTTCTTCTTTAATGATGATTTTTATCAAACTTGTATATTTAAGTTCAGTAATTTCACTTAAATAACAATTAATAGGTAATTATCATTGCCATTTAAGTGAAATTACTGAACTTAAATATACAAGTTTGATAAAAATCATCATTAAAGAAGAACATTTCAAATGGCATTTAGAGGCTTTTGCATCTGAACTCTTCATTTGAACTTTAGCCCAGTGAATAAGAGAAGTATAAGACGGGATTATTGCATAAATTAAATATTGAATAATTAAGTCGAATTGCTTCTGTTTTGATGCAAGTGATGATATTTTGTCTCATTCGCCGGTGAGGAAGTTACATCATTGCGTGAGTTACATCACTTTGTTTTCAGACGGCTGGATGACTTCTGGATTAGTAATGACTGGGCTATTTTTAGGAATGATGACATGAGATATCGCACTGGCTCGGTTCACTCAAAAAAATTATATGTTGGCTTTTGAATTTGTCAACAGGTTCCACATAACTAAATTACGTTAAACAAACATAATTTAGAATAGAATTATGTAATTTTAAAGTCTCAACGTGAATTTTTAAAGGCTTCCTGGCATGATTCAAAGGCATTTTATTATATTCATTCATCAATTTATATTTCATTTGATTCAGTGACATTTAATTAAATTGATAGACTTTAGCTAGCTATTTGCTAGCATCTTCAATCAAAGCAGTTGAAAATAATGAAATCAGTCGACAGACAAACAAAATGCTCCACTCTTCTCCACAACGGTAACCCACTGTAATTTAAATGGTTTAATGATTCCAATGTAATACATATACATACATTACATACTATCAAGTCTTCCCCTTTTCTAAATTTCTCAAAAAAAAAAAAAAAAAAAAAAAACAACATAAAATAACACTTAATTTTAACATTTATTCTCTCTTAATTCAACCATATGCAAAGCATGCTGGGAACTAAAAGCACTGCCCAGTTTCAGTTAAGGCAACACAAATTATAAAACTTAAGTAAACTTAAGTTGTTCATAGATTTAAGCAGATTGAACACAATAAAATTAAGTTCGGGCAAAATGGCAGTCGGCTCGCACTATACTGCCACCCTTTGAGAAATGGCACTGCGGGTGGGCATTTCCCTGCGGAGAGATCAGGAATTTTTACTTAACATAAATGGTTTGTGTTTAGACAACACATTAGGATTTTGTACTGTTAAGTTGAGACACAATTACATCTCGTTAATAGAAAAAAAAAACATTTAAAGTCAAAAAACACAATTATTATAAGTAAACTATATATAAATGTATTATGTAAAGTGCACAACCTCCCTAGTTTGGGTAAAATAAACCCAGCCATTGGGTTACATTTTTAAATTACATTTATAACCCAATGGCTGGAATTGTCCATATTTTACTCAAAACTGGGTTAAAACAACCCAGGATTTTTAGAGTGCACCATTTACACTTAAAAATAAACCCTCTTAAAAATAAACCCTCACATGATCAGTCAAAGACGGTCAACCAAAAACTAAAATCTCACGGTATGTGTCTTTATCTGAGTGTTGGCATTTGGGACATACAGTACCAACCACAACTCTGAGTGTTAGTCACCTACTTCACACTAATAATGCTGGGTTGTATTAACCCAACTTTGGGTAAAATATGGACAAACCCAGCCATTGGGATACATTTTTAAATTACATTTATAACCCAATGGCTGGATTTGTCCATATTTTACTCAAAACTGGGTTAAAACAACCCAGTATTTTTTAGAGTGCACTATTTACACTTCAGTCTTAAAAATAAACCCTAACATGATCAGTCGAAGTCAACCAAAAACTAAAATCTCACAGTTAATATGTGTCTTTATCTGAGTGTTGGTACATACCAACCACAACTAGTGTTTGAGTGTGTCACCTACTTCACACTAATAATGCTGGGTTGTTTTAACCCAATTTTGGGTAAAATATGGACAAACCCAGCCATTAGGATACATTTTTAAATTACATTTATAACCCAATGGCTGGATTTGTCCATAATTTACTCAAAATTGGGTTAAAACAACCCAGGATTTTTTAGAATTCGGGACATACCAACCACAACTATAGTGTCTGAGTGTTAGTCACCTACTTCACACTAATAATGCTGGGTTGTTTTAACCCAACATTGGGTCATATATGGACAAACCCAAATGTTGGGTTAAAATTTGTCATTTGAAAAATGTAACCCAGTGGCTGGGTTTGTCCATATTTGACCCAAAGTTGGGTTGAAACAACCCAGCAATGTATTGTTTAGAGTGTACATAATTGGATTAAATGATGCTATTTGACTATATGGTTTTGAGATTGCAGTGAGATTTATTTTGGCAAAGGGAACACCTGATTTATTTGACTACTTAGTGGTGAAGCTGAGCTCAATGATTGCCTTTGTTGGGACATTTATCCCAGATACAGGGAGTTGCTTGTGTTCTCCAACCTGCAGGGAAGGAAAATATATGCTTCCTCTCACTAGGCATAGGATGTATCATATTCCTGTGCAAAGGTCACAGCAACCTGATATTAAATATATATATATAGAGAAAAAAAGAACAAGAGTAGGAAAGGCTACTAAATATTCATAACACATCAGATTTGAACCGATCTGATTGGTTGAACAGCATTCAAAGTTCTGATATTTCAACAGCACTGTTTATGCAGCTTGTTTGTGCTTTCCAGATGTAATGAGGTTCGTAATTCAGGGAACGGGCAAACTTTTAACACTTTAATATATAAATAAACACAAAAGAAAGTAAAAGCGGCAGCCCCTCATGGACAACTGCTTGCCACACCGGATTTTCGCCATGTTTCTAAAGGAAAGTATGCAATTTCAGACAAATCGAATCTTATATTCAGAGTAATTGTAATATGAAATAAGAAAGTGGCAAAATTCTCAGACTGAACAAGGTCCGTATAATCTGATCTGAATCAAAATGAGGGATTTGTCGACATTGGATGTGACAGATTAACTTCAAGTCTAGTTGTCAATTTCAATTTCAGACGCAGGCGGTGACTGGCATAACTATATTTTTTACATACAGTTTCTGACCTACTATATACTATGCAAATTCAGATGCAGCCAATGTCTTTATGAGTGAGTCATTGAATCGTTCACTCAGCCGATTCATTCGGGAACATAACGTTTGATGCTTGGAGAAGTACTGGAAACAATCTGGGATATATTGTGTCGAAAATCTAAGTTACATACCTTATTTTTTTTTAATGAAGTGTTATAACAAGTGAGTATATCACATCAATAGCGCACTCTCAATAACGTTGTTGATATTGGGTGCAATTCAGAGCACTTTTGCTTATTCTCAGACATGTTCTTTAGGTCACACTTTTAGACACCCTCTTGAGGTTTATAATGTTGTCACAGAGCAGAAATGTTTGCTTCATAAGGCATTTCAACAGAGAAAAGTTGATGATGTTATGATGAGTGAAACCCTGCTGAGACCATTTGTTGAACCGAATCCATCAGCGGCTTGAGATTGTGATCTCCAACAGAGTTTCATAATTACAGAAACATATACACACAATTATACGAGAGACAGAAAAAGAGGAACACAATGAATGGACCAAAACTCACAATAGGATCAGAAGGGATGGATAGGACATCCGAAGATTGTTTAAGTGTTTAATATAACCTCGCATGCAGTTTAAACATTCAATGTAACACCTTAACTAATCTTATCATCTGATTTTACTTTATATATATATCATATATGTCTGTTATTAGTCATTTGGGGGTGATCTTTTACCACATGTCCTCAGAAATCATGTCCCATGATGACTTACAGTTTTTATTAGGGCTGAAAACTACAGTGAAATTTTGTAGATTCAGGTTTCAGTTTTTTCTCTCTGTTCTAGCAGGATATTACATAACCATGTGTGCTCTTTAGGAAATGCTGGACTCATTTATACCACATAAAATAGGTTCATATTTCATTTGACATGCAATCAAACATCACTAGAAACTATGATGTTACAAAGTCTGCTATGTGTTACGAGCGAGATACCCCATCAATCCAAACCACTTTCTGGTCCATTGTTTGTTTAATGTCACTGTAGTAATCTCGGATGGTTCCCATTCCCGAGCTGGCAGTGTCATTGCCAAGGCTGGTTCAGTCCTCTGATGGGTGTGGTGTTGTGGTTAAGGCATAATGAAGGCTTGGATGGTCCAAAATGACCAAAAGTCACTGTATTTATAGCTCACACCATCATGACCAGCTGCTGGATTGAATCCCGGGATCCCGACGGCAGAGAAGACGTGCAGAGTGCCACGTTTGCCAGACTATGAGGACGATGGAAATAAAAAGGCTTACACAGCAAATACATTTCGGATGAATTGGCTATTCGAGCATTTATAGGGTTAACTGAAGGTTTATTGATCATATGGCAGCAAGTCAGTGTTTATGGCCAATGACAGGATGCTATTTTTTTATGGATCTATCAATTTATTTATTTAAAAAAAATGTATAATGCATTTCAAAAATCAAGGTTCTTTATTCAAAACATATTCAAATGTATTCATATTCAAAATAAATGTTCTTTATTGGCATTTGTGGTTCTAATTTTTATTTGTTTGAGTGTTTATCTGCAACCAACATGAAACATGCAGAATAACCATAAAAGTGAAAAACTCTTTTAGAAAAACTAAAATATGTCATATCACTTGACATTGTGTGTCAAGGTCAGTAAGTCTCATAAAATATCAGATCATTTAAAAATGTATTTCTAAAACTCTGTTTTTTTTTTTGTTTTGTTTTTTTAAATTAACCATTAAGACTGGATACTGGATATTTAAGGTGCATGGAAAATGTTAGTTTTTTTATTTTATTATTTTTTTTAAGACTTGACATTTTACTTTTTTTCCTTATACTAATCATGGCTGGCTATCATGTTTTTATTGTTCATCAGCTGAAAAATATCTTCCTGAAAGTGATTCCCATGATGTCGTTGTTCTGGGTCCTTATCTCTAGCTAAGGTTGACTTCCCTCTTCTCAAAGACCAATTATAATGTTTAAATTACAGTTATCACCCTTGCATTAGAACCATTTTTAATACATTAAAGTTTTAGTTCTCATCATCTTAAGGTGCAATCACTTTTACTGTTATTCTGCACATTTTCCCAGATGAAATGCATGCATATTTTGTATGTTGGCGAACAGAAACTGCTTTGTTTGAAAGCAACTTTTGTGTAAGCTGCATACAGGGTAACTAAACCCTAAACCAACTTTTTTTTAGTTACTGATCTGTAAGAATGGGGTTTTTTTTAGTGCTGATCATTGATTCGAGTAACTTTTTTGACATTTTTGTATAAAGAGTTTTAATTCTACAACATTTGGTGTAAAAACGTCTTAGTGCTGCCCTCTTCAGGTTGAACGGTGGCTACTGCGGTGGTTTGTGACGTACGCGGGGAGAGCTGACGTTAGCAGATTCCAGCTCGCCACGCCCTTGGTACAAGCTACACTCTTAGAAGAAAAGGTTCTATATAGAACCTTAAAAGGTTCTATCAGCGCTACGTATTTAGAACCCCTAAAAGGTTCTATACACTCTTAAAAAAGGGTTCCTCTGGGTTCTATATAGAACCCTGGGGTTCCATACTTGGCCAATAGAACCTTTTACCAAAAAAAAAAATGGTTCTATATAGAACCATTTTAGAGTTCCATATATGAAGCGGGGGATGGAACCATTTCTTCTAAGAGTGTTTAAAAAAAATCTTGTTTCGTCAAAACCGCTGCGAGTCAAGAGTTACGAGAATTACAAGTATTGAAAATGATCAGGATAGAGTAATGTAGCGTAGCATTTAGATTATTTTGTGTAGCTAAAGTTAATCCTCTGGGGTCAACAAACGTGCCAGCGTATTTTCCTGGATTTTTTCACATAGTGGCAAAATATATGCCTACAGCGAGCACGCTATTGACATCAACTCGACAAAACTCATCAGATGACGGTCACGATGCTGGAGTTAAGACCGCAGTTTGAGCCAGCGGCTGGAATTGATATGACCCTGCGTCCACAGACAATTCAACCTCCTCCCCTTTTGGTGATGGTGGCAGAGACATGTAGTCTTGATAAGTCTTTGAGAAACTGTCAGATAATAATGTTGATGCGTTGATTTGCTTGTTTCAGGAATGCTCCCCTTATGCGGCACATCTGTACGATGCGGAAGACGCCAACACCCCGATGCGGGAGCTTCCCGGACTGTGTGGGGATTACTGTGGGGATTACTGGCTCCACTGTCGGTACACTCTCAGCCTTCTGACCAACTACAACGAAAGCTCTGCTGTTGAAGAAGACCGAAGCAAGTTCTGCAAATACCTTGAGCTGAAAGATCCAGAGTACTGTTACCCAAACGTCCTCTCTAACGACAAGCTCAACGCCAACCTGGGAGATGTGAAGGCGGATCCGCAAGGCTGCATTCAGCTGTGCCTGGAAGAGGTTGCGAACGGTCTTCGCAATCCTGTAGCGATGGTACATGCGAATGACGGTACTCACCGCTTCTTTGTCGCCGAGCAGCTGGGTTACGTGTGGGTTTACTTGCCGAATGGTTCTAGAATTGACAGGCCGTTCCTGAATCTGACCAGGGCGGTCCTCACGTCCCCTTGGGCAGGAGATGAGCGAGGGTTCCTCTGCATCGCCCTGCATCCTCAATTCACCACGGTGAAAAAAGCCTACGTCTACTACTCTGTGTCTGTGAAGAGGCAGGAGAAGATTCGCGTCAGCGAGTTCATCGTTTCCGATTCAGATATGAATATGCTGGATCACTCCTCAGAAAGGTGAGAGCTGTCTGTCTGTCTGTCTGTCTATCTATCTATCTGTCTATCTATCAAACTATTTTGGTTGACAGGACACTTCTAGAGGTTGATGAGCCTGCATCAAACCACAATGGAGGTCAGCTGCTGTTTGGGCTGGACGGCTATCTGTACATATTCATAGGAGACGGTGGCAAAGCAGGAGACCCTTTCGGAAAGTTTGGGAATTCTCAAAACAAGTGAGTAATCTTCACACACTTTATTTATCTTTATTTGCCTTAGTCCTTCCTTAACCCTTATGCTGCATTAGGGACATTTTTGGTCTTTTGCAGTTTAATTTCTTTGACCATTTTGGCTGTTTTAATGCAAATGGTATGAAATTTGGCAAAATTGTGACTTTTTGGATACATGTAAAAAATGTGATCCCATTTTGCAAAATATGTATAACACACACTGTGTAGATCAAATAGTAACACTCAGCACCATAAAGACCAAAAATGGCCCATTGAAACCCATTAAAACGTTGTTTGAATCTGAGGCTGTCAGTAATACATGAAACATGATTTTTGCACAAACATCCTTTCATTTTGAAGCAAAAGCATTATATTTGCATTATATAGTGTATTCCACCAGATGATGTCACTAAATATTTATTCCCTATGGGTGGAAATGCACCTTATTTTAGGCAATAGGCAATGTTTAATAAGTGGCCATTTTTGGTCTCTAACGCGCTAAGTGGGATTTTTTGCAAAGTGGGACTGTGATAATCCAAATCTAAAGTTTTCTCTTTGCATTTAGTTTATTATAAATAATTGAATTTTTGTGTTTTTTCCTCTTATACAAATCGATGGTTTCGCAAACAAAACTGGTAATTAAAGGGTTAAAATCCTGAAATTGAATACATTTTTGGTAGTTATGATGAGGACTGATGCTGGTTAAAAGATTTAACTTGGTAAAAGTGGAAAATAATAATAATATATAATATTTTAGGCAATGTTTAATATGTGGCCATTTTTGGTCCTTAATGCACTCAACGGTGTTAAAAATCTAATGCAGCACAAGGGTTAATGTTATAGAATGTTTTCTAAATCCACCTAAATAGATTCATTTAATAATTTTAAAGAGGTGCTTCAGGATTTTTAAGTTAGTGTTATAAGTCAGCATTTCCAAGTTAGTGTTATAGTTCGCCGGTGCTAGGCTAGCGCTAGTCAACGGTAACTGCTAGCCTGCCATTAAAAACAGTTTTTCCCACTCCACAGTTCACCAAAAGCAAATAAATGCCAGACTATCAATGAAAATGAGAGAATAATGTAGAAAATCAAACTACCCTTTCATTGGATTGCAATAGTTATTCTCTGTATTTATTTATCATCACAGTCTACAGCAGCGGCGGAGTGATATGTAGTTAGTTACCTAGGCAACCGAGAGATAGTGGTGCAGGTTACTATGTTTATTAGCTCATTAATCAAATTAGACAAACCAAATATATTACATAACAAAATGATCTGAGACTGCAACTTTTGTGTGGTAGAAAATGACCACGTCAACCAAATAAAACAGTGCTTCTTGCAGTCTTCTTGCACTTGATTGCCAATACCATAAAGTGGTCCGTTCAAGTAAAACAATCCGAATATAGTGTGGATCACAAGCCGTATGGATGACTTTAATGGTGTTTTGTCAATTTCAGAGCTCAAAAGCCTAATTTAGGCAGTTTAAATCTAGAAGTTTGCCGTACATGTGCCCCAGTTGAGTTATGCACATTTAGCCAGACGCCTCATAATATTAGCGTTGGCTTGCCACCCTCCTTTCCCCATGGGACATGAGCAGAGCTGGCAGAGAGTGGCACGATGAAACTCACAGTTTCACACAGCAAGCCTTTCATTCTTATGGAGAAACCTGTCGTAGCCACTGCAGCCTGGAGTCCCAGCGTCGATGACTAACACGAGTATATACTGGCTTGTACTGTATTGACAATACATGTGAATTGCAGTGTTGCGTTGTTGATGGTTTTCTGTACCACACACATTATTAAAAAGCTTAGTCATCAGCTTAATTAAGCTTCTGTGGTGAGAAGATCTAGATCATTGTTTACTGTATGCAAGCCTGTAGAAGCAGGTTTCATTTATTTATATAAAATCAGCAATCACAGTAACTTAAAAAAGGGCTCTGATTTCTGATTACTTTTGAACGCATGTCAGTACCTGGCTTCTTTTGAATGGCTATAAATAAAGTGAGTCAAGCAGTACATTACTATTTTTTAATAAAAACCCCTTTGCAAAGCCTTATCAATATACTAATCATATGCATTAACACTTTCACTTTGACAACGCTTTTTTATTGTTTACATGATGTGCTATATCTGAACAGATTCCTCTTGTAAGTTTTAGATTTAGATATTTATTTATGGATTTATTTATATCTGTGGCAGTATTATGTTTGTTTACCCATTATACTAAATAGCTTTAATTAATATTTTGTATTTAATTAGTTTTTGTATGTATATTTATTTATTTATTTATTTATTATTACTTTATATGAATATTCTATTTTCATTTTCAAGTTAAAACTTTAGAAATTGTTTGTGCTTTGTAATTTTAAAACTTTTTTAAATGTTTATAAAGTTTTTATTCATTTTTATTTAATTTTAGTTATTTAAGTTAAAAAAAAAGTTTCCTTGGCAACCAGCATATATATATATATATATATATATATATATATATATATGTATACATACTGTATATGAATTATATACAGTATAATTATATACAGTATATATGAATTATATATTGTATACATATGATGAACTGAAAAAAAAAAAAAAAAAAAAAAATATATATATATATATATATATATATATATATATATATATATATATATATATATATACAGTATATACACTCATAAGGCCTATACAATTTTTGTATGGTTTTAGTTTTAGTAATAAATAACGACACTGGTCTAAAGTTGATTGGTATTAACAATCAATAATCTAATCCAATAAATATCTACCATAATAATTAGACAAAAATAACAAAAATAAAGAAGAAAAAGGTTACATTGAATGAAGGACAGATCTAAGCCAGGAGAAGCTTTAGTTCTTTTCACAGGATGGAAAATGAGACTCTTCACAGACAGTTCAAGCCCATGCCAGTGTCAATATTGACATACGGCATTGTGGGACGTGAGAGGCCTAGCATGAGCTTAGCAACGATGAGAAAAGGATCAGCAGACGGTGCAAATGTTTACTGGGCAGGTTTAAACTACTATAGTCTTACGAGTGCAATCTTATAGGGATCAATTATTTGTACAAACCCGTTTTGTAAAACACAAATGCTTCTCTCAAGTGAAAACAAACACTGTGATGTTACAGGTCCACTCTTCTAGGCAAAGCCCTGCGAATCGACGTAGACAACAACGATCATGGCGCCCCCTACAGTATCCCATCAGACAATCCTTTCGTAGGAGAGAGCGACTCGAGGCCAGAGATCTACGCCTACGGTGTGAGAAACATGTGGAGATGTTCAGTCGACAGGGGCGATCCGGTCAGCGGCCAGGGCCGAGGCAGAATGTTCTGCGGGGATGTTGGGCAGAATAAATATGAGGAAGTGGATCTGATCGAAAGTGGAGGGAACTATGGATGGAGGGCAAAAGAAGGCTTCTCCTGTTACGACAACAAACTGTGCTCCAACTCGTCACTCAGTAAGCAAGCCTTTCGATTTTCTAATTTAATTTCAGCATGTACAGTAGTGGCTAAAGGTGGTTTACAGGGAGGACAGTTATAGTGTTAAATGACGAATTTGGGCCCAACGAATGCAAAGCCGTCCTCAAACCAAAGCATGGTTATATACTTAAGGTTCTCTCTACTCCATCCAGAGCGCAGGTCATCTCCCTCTCAGCACTTTCTCCCTCCGTGGGTGAACAAGAGCTGCATTTACTCTGCCCTGTCAGAGCTTTGAGAATATACATTTTCAGACTGATCTCATGAAGTAGCGTGTGTATGACACGCCAATTCGTATTTCCATTTTTGGCGTGCTATCAAGACGCATAATCGCTTTTCAGCATGTTTATGAACGCCGTTGACTTAACGTTATTACTGTATATATACTGTAAATATATGACTTACCTCAACCCCGTCCCTAAACCTACCCGTCACTGGGGTTAATGGATTAGTTCACTTTTGAAAAAACTTTTGCTGATAATTTACTCACCCCCATGTCATCCAAGATGTCCATGTCTTTCTTTCCTCAGTCGAAAAGAAATTAAGGATTTTTCTCCATATAATGGACTTACATGGGAACCAGACGGTCCAAGGTCCAACAGACAGTTAATAACAGTTTCAGATGCAGCTTCTAATGTCTTTAAACGACACCAGACGATGAATAAGGGTCTTTTCATGCGAAACGATCGGTTAATTCAAAACTTATTCCAAAAATGTAACTTTTCTAAGGACAAATGCTAGCCTTGCTCTATTCTGTGGGGCGCGTTTGTAACGTCACGTATTACGTAATTACGTTCAAAAGGTCACGCGCGACGTAGCCGGAAGTACAGAGTCAGTGTTTACAAGTTGAACGCATAGGTTGAACGTGCAAACTAACTCAAACGCCGTTTACAAAAAAAGGATTTAAAAAGTAAAACAATGATGTCGGACGATTTTGATTCTGTACTTCCGGCTACGTGACCTTTTGAACGTAATTACGTATTACGTGACGTTACAAACGCGCCTCACAGAATAGAGCAAGGCTAGCATTTGTCCTTAGAAAAGTTACATTTTTGGAATAAGTTTTGAATTAACCGATCGTTTCGCATGATAAAACCCTTATTCATCGTCTGGTGTCGATTAAAGACATTTGAAGCTGCATCTGAAACTGTTATTAACCGTCTTTTCGAACTTGAACCGTTTGGTTCCCATTGAAGTCCATTATATGGAGAAAAATCCTGGAATGTTTTCATCAAAAACCTTAATTTGTTTTCGACTGAAGAAAGAAAGACATGGACATCTTGGATGACATAGGGGCGAGTAAATTACCAGCAAAAGTTTTCAAAAGTGAACTAATCCTTTAATGGCATTTATGAGTCTTCCCTTACCTTTTTTCCTAGGGAAAAAAAAGATCGCTCCCCAGATGTAGATCTACATTTTGCTTCGTTTCGCGCGGACATTTGACGGCGTGTACAGACACGCGGAATCACTCGAACGTTAATGGCGTAGACATACACGCATACACGCGGATAGCTCAAAATGCGTAGAGATGTTTACGCAAAAGTCATGATGTCATGTTGACATTTTAGGCACCCAGAACAACTTTCTGTATGCTTTGGAGGCCGCACCAAAGGGCATCCAGTCACGAAGCAGAGGATATCCAGATGGACACTAGCCTACTCCTCGACGAGCCTACAATGCCCCATCGGAGTAAGAGCTCATTCCACTAGAGGCATGGCCTCGACCTGGGCCTGGTCCAGTGGTGTCTCTATTGATGATATTTATGTGACTGGCTGGTCCTCGCTGTCCACATTTACCAGGTTCTACAATCTAGAAGCCCCTGTCCTTTCTGTCTAGTGGATTTGGCCAAAGCCAAGCCCAAAGCACTATGAACTTTCCCCCCTTCTATATGGGGTAACTCTATGGCTATTGCCTATTGCTATAATACCTTTGTGGCTCCGATCTGGGGTCTGGGCTACTGGTAACAGGCTATTGACCTTCTCATACCTAACCAGCTCTCGGCCCTTCTAGTGCCTAGGCCATTCAGGTTTTCTTGGAACGATTGTCTAGCGCAGGATCGACCTCTATGAGTTCTACGTTCCTGATCCGACGTAAGTAAGTCACGTCGGAGCCCCTTGTGGAATGAGCATTCCCTATTATGTCTTGCTCTGCTAAGGGTTAAGGCCAAGTATATCTATAGACAGTAAAAGAAATGGACACAGCGACCCCATTGATCTCAACAGCCCAATTATTGCACTTCCTGTCTGAAGTCTGAGCGACTGCCTCACATCAGTCTGACAGTTTAGCTGTGCCAAGACAAATCTGAATCACCAAATTCTTCAAAAAACGTTGTTTAAATATTTTGTCCTGTTGCTTTTATGGACTCTCTATCGATGGGCTTCTCCCTTGACTTTGTGCCTCCATGTCCCCGATTGCCTCATAGACAGTAAAAGATTGCCTGCAAGCTTCTCCTCCTGTCTATACGGTAATGTCTCTATTGCGCGACAGAAAGTTGCGTGATTATGACGCAATCGTTAGCCTATTTTTACAAAAACGGCTTCTACGGGGCCGTAACGTAAGATACAAAGTAATGGAGCCTTTTATACATTGTCGTGTTTCTTTAGAAATAAATAATGGACAAATGGAGTCTTTGGACGCCTCAGATGTAAAGTTATTCGCTGTCAAAGTGACGCCAAAATGAATGGGATGCTAAGAGCAGGAGAAGTTCTGCTACAATGGCGGCTCCCGCGAGGCTTCAACTTCCGGCGATGGATTACCACCTTGAGTATATCATCATTAGCCGCTAGCCGCTTTCCGACCGGAGGGACTTTTGCAGTTCCTAGAACCTAACGTTCCTATAACCCTTTTTTTCTCAAAAAATTATTTTTTTGGGGGGACTAAATTGGGGATTTTTTAGTTCCTCAGACCGTAGTTCCTATAACTCTTTCAGTACCTAGTCTAGAGCGAGGACTTTTTTAGTTCCCTTTCCCTAGGTCTACGTTGATTGGTTCAACTTAAAAGTCATGCCCACTGTCAACACGGAACTTGTAGTGCGCTGTCTGCCATACGCGGTGTGTTTTTGCAAAACATTACAACTAAGGATTAAGACAAACATAACGCAATCAACCAGCTAATTGCTAATGCTAGCTAAACTTACCCGTCGTTTTGTTTGCCTCCTGCACTCTGCTCATTTATCTTCTTCCATCATATTACTTAATATCATATTATGCTGGAGCCTTCGTCTTCTGTGTTTCTCTGGACAGAACTCAAGCATAATCTTTAAACGCCGCCGTTCGTTCTCCGTTATTAAGGTCCCGGCAAGGCAGAACAGGAACATTGCAATAGCCGCGCTACGCACAAGTCTCAGGTCGTCACTTCAGTTGAATTTAATCTAAGTATCTTATGCCAGATCGTCTGCTTTTATAGCCAAATGCCACGCCCAAGTCGGCGTGCTCTGCCGGGCTTCTCTGCCTTAGGCTCATGTAGCTCCGCAGCCTCGCCATTGGTTCGTTTTATTATTCTACACGAAGCAATGGTCACTGTGTAAGTATAAATGCTTCAGAATTCGGTTTCACGTATCTCAAGGAATTATTATTGAGAACGTTACCTTATATTACCCAGTACTTTATTGGGTAAGTAAACTGTAAGTACGCATACGGTAAAATACAGTGCAACCATTTAGTTTCTATTTTTTTTATATTTCTTCATGTCAAATTACAAGGTAACCCGGACAATTTTGATGGTTAAGGTAATTTTAGAAATTTTGTGCACTTTACAAAGGTTGAAGTAACAAATTTGTTGAAGTGGATAAGCCAATCTCCATAAAAGTCTGTCATTTTTTTTCTCATTAAAAAATCTGTTCTGAAGAAAATATTTGAAAACTACTCTCTTATAAAGTTAGCATATAAAAGATTTGTATGAATACAGCTCCAGGTTGGTTCCAGTTGAGTTGTGAAGAGTATATGAGAGAAAAATATCTTTATTTTACCTTTTCCTTAGACGATATCCTTCCGATATTTGCTTACCCACATAAAATCGGCAAGTCTGTAACTGGCGGCTACATCTACAGGGGCTGCCAGATGCCCAATCTGAACGGTCTGTATATCTTTGGGGATTTTATGAGTGGGTACGTATGTTTGCTCTTGCACTTGAAATATAGTCCAATATAATAGAATATAAACAAGAAAATCAACACAAGATTAATGCATGCTACTTTCCCATAATGGCTGATCTATTTCACTGTTTGTTTGATTACTTTGCACTGAATGAATCAGACTTCTCCCATTATATGCATCCTAGGCGCCTGATGTCCCTAAAGGAAAACGCTGAGACGGGAAAATGGAACTATAAGGAGATTTGTATGGGCACTGACAAAACGTGCAGTTTCCCTAAACTTATAAACAGCTACTACAAGTATATCATATCATTTGGCGAAGATGAGGCAGGTAACTTGAGAGCAGCTCTGTGTGTGACTATAGGGTCTTCAACAGCTTAATATTTTCTAATATACAGTCATCAATATCAATTAGAAGAAAAGGTTTGAGTGCAACAGTCGGGTTAAAAGCTCCATTAATTTTTGAACCGTGTGTTTCAGGTGAGCTGTACTTCCTTGCGACGGGAGCGGCGAGTGCCACGGCCAGAGCCGGAGTGGTGTATAAGATAGTGGATCCCTCGAGGTACAACACACCGTGATGACACAGACTTTAGAGTTACATCCACTTCATAAAACGTCACAGTTAGGGTTTTTATACTGACTTTACTAGAGGTGTGATGGTAAAAAATAACCTCCCCTGCCTAATCTGATTGTCTATATTGAATATACCAAAATGCATCTTAGAATATATCAAAATAAGTTAATAAGGGTTAGGGGAAATAGCTTGCACAAAATAAAAATCCTTTAATTTATGTTTTTTTTTCTTCTTCTGTTGTTCAATTATGTGTGTAAGCAAGGCTTAAAATTAACAACCGTCAAGCGCCAAATGCGAATAATAAAAATGGTGTTAATGGGCAGTTGGCCGGTAATATTTTTACGAATTCTAACAATGCAATGTTGTGAAAACATAACCGTAAAACAATATGAAGATTGAATTGAGCTCTCTTTCACGTCTTCTAGCTCTTGAACGAACAAATTCACACACAAAATAAAAAATAAAAAATCAAAAATGCCCGCCTCCGTGAGTATCCAAGTAAACATAACTAGTATTTAAGCTGCTGTGTATTTTTAATGTTAATCAAAGAACAAACAAAATTCTTCACTGATCTTGACTGAATAACTTCTGTACCTTTTAATAAGGATTAATCTATGTTTATTTATGAAGACTATGCAGTGCTATTTTACCTTTGATTACTTTATTCAATGTCTCTACTTGAAAACTCCTGTTAATTGTCTTGGGGTGGGGTGGTAAAGTATGATTCCACTTTTCTGACTTTAATTAGTGTGTAATGTTGCTGTTTGAGCATAAGCAACATTATCAAAGTTACAACGCTCAAAGTTCAAAGCAAATGAAGATATTTGCTTTTAAATAAATCGTTTTTTTAAGGACTACAACAAACGGCTGGTAGAACTACACAACATTCCTCCAGGATTAGTGACATCACCAACCCCAAAATGTACATAAACCCCGGGAACACAGTCCATGTTGAGAAGAGGAAGAGTTGTAAAACTTTAGCATCCATCTTTTCACATGCAATAGAAAGTCACTCTGTGTGCGTCTCACAACAGTTCCTATACGAGTGATTTATAGATTACATGACAGAATATGCTAATTTGAGATAGAACTCCACATCATCAACATAAATTCATCAACTAACCATTCAGAGACGTCCTGTTGCATTCTACATGTTGTCACTTCTTCTTAGTCTCTCCATCTTTGACTGACTCCGTTTTAACTTTAAAGGGAGGACATTTTCTGTCGTTTTAGCGTGTGTCTGCGTGAGGAAATCGCAGCTGCTAACACAAACACACACGAGCTCTTGAAGCTCCGCCCATTGTGGCGGGAGCAGCAGCTCATGTGCATTTAAAGGGCCAGGCACACAACAGTGTGTTTTTGCTAAACCCTCAAAAAGTGACAAATTGAACATCCTATATAAAAATATCTGTGGGGTATTTTGTGCTAAAACTTCACATACACACTCTGGGGACATCAGAGATTTATTTTTTTTATAGACATGTTGTGAAAATGGCATTTTACCACCCCTTATAATGTAGTTAGGTTAGTTCTTTGGTATCGAAATTGGAATAGAGTTTGTCATAACTGCCTTTTTTTTTGCAAGAACAGTTTAATGAACAATATTTGTGGCTGATAAATTTTATTAAGTCACCGGCCATTGCCAGGTGTGGCAAAAAGTAAGTTTTAGGCGTACAATGGTATGTATAAACAGTTGGACATTTTCTTCACTGTAGGAGGGCCCCTCCAGGCAAATGCAGCTTTAAGCCCACTCCAGTCAACATCAAGGGAAAACTGATTCATTTCAGTCCTAAAGAAGGTAAATAAACACTCATTCTTCCTATTGAAGGCATGAGATTTTGAGTAGGGCTGCACAATTAAGAAAAAATAAACCCAAAATTGTGCATATGGATTATCAAATTGCGAAACCTGCGATTCGTAATGAAATCGTAATAAAAACACTAGAAAGGGGGATTGTTCAGCTAGTTTTTTGACTCTGTTTGATTTGTTCCACAGAGTTTGTGATTAACAAAAAACCCTCAACGACTGCCATTCCCAAACTAAAACCAACCAAACCCAGTCCAACCCCACGACCGCGAGCACCACAAACGCCAACTTGCAGGACGACCACAGTCCGCCACTCCACGGCTCGTCCACGCGCTCTCCACACGACCCCTCGACCACTGACCCCCACCAGGCCCTCGTACTGGACCCCGGCTCCAAAAACCAAACCCACCGCAAGACCCTCGTACTGGACCCCGGCTACCAAACCCAAACCCACCGCAAGGCCCTCGTACAGGACCCCGGCTCCAAAAACCAACACCCCCGCCACGCCCTCGTACTGGACCCCGGCTCCAAAATCCAAACCCACACCCACAGCAAAGACCCAAACAGGCAGACCTGGGAAACGAGGTCGAGGGAAACCTAGAAGGAAAGGAGACCGCAGGGGCCGGCCCCGCTCCGGGACAGTGCGGCTGGTCAGCGCAGACGGGTGGAAGGACCGCGGCCGGGTCGAGATCTTCGTGCGCGGCGAATGGGGAACGGTGTGCGACGACATGTTCAACACGCAGGCCGCGGCGGTCGTCTGCCGGCAGCTGGGATTCCCCGTGGTCGAGCGCGTGGCCAAGAGAGCAGAGCTCGGACCCGGAGCCAGCGAAGTCAGGATCCTGCTGGACGACGTCGAGTGTGAAGGAACCGAACGGACTCTGTTGCACTGCAAACACGCCAAACTGGGCAAAAACAACTGTTCCCATGACGAGGATGTCGGGGTGGTGTGTGGCCATTATGAACATGCAGTGGAGTGAAAGACAATGATCCCACAGACCAAAAATACAACTGTTTACACAGAAACTGTCCATTTGACAGAAAAAAAAATATATATTTTCATTTAAAATTACCTACTATAAATTATAAATGACCTACTGGAAATTCCCCTGTTGCTACCAGAAGAGAATAAGTGTTTTGTTTTTGAATGAAGACACAAATTAAATATCATATTAGACTATATGGAATGAGAGATATAACAAAAATATGATCATCAATCAATCAATCAATCAAACAATCAATCAAACGAACACACGTTTTAATAATCTTTTTTTTCACACTGAATCATGCACTATTTACACTGCGGTGAGTTGTTGACCATCTCACACTAGAAATAAAAATGTATTAACTTTTTTATATTTTGACAACACTTTAGAAAAAGGTTTCATTAGTTGGCATTAGTTAACAAGAACTAATAATGAAATGCATTTATCACTCTTAATGTTAATTTCAACGTTTACTGATACATCATTAAAATCAAATGTTGTGTTTGTTAACATTAGTTAATGCACAGTGAACAAACAATGAACAGCTGTATTTTTTATTAATGAATGTTAACAAAGATTAATACTATAACAAATGTATTGATCATAGTTTGTGTTAGTTCATAAATTAACTAATGTTATGAAACTTTATTGTAAAGTGTTACCCATCATTTTTTCCTCATAATAATTTTAAAATTAAATTTATTAAAAAAAATAAATAAAATGATTAAAGTATGTCCACCTGCAATCATGAGATTTTGCAGAATGTCTTTTTCAGGTTATTGCTATGCTATGTAAATATTGCATTTTTGTTGCACATTCCAAATGATGATTGTTTTAATCACAAATGCTGGACATTCTTTGTTATATTGTAATAATTAAAAAATGTAAATAAAATTGTTTGCATAATCGTGGTGAAGATCGCAAAGTTGTATCGTTTATAGCCTATATCAATTCGAATATCTTCCGTTGCTCTTTGGATGTTGTTGTGGTAGATGTGATGGTTTTCCTAACTTATTTAATCTGAAACAAACTCACAAACACTCCTCTATTATCATATCACACACTTTTATCTCCCCCTCAAAAATTGCTTGATTTTTTAAAATTTTATTATTATTATTTTTTAATCGGCCAGGAAATTTTGATCATTGCTGGTGCAAGCGTACTTTTGCCCCTCGAAATTATTATCTTTAAATTATTATTTAATAATTTAATACATTTTTAATATTTAATAAAAGCACCTTTCAGTGCTTCAATACCCAGCCCTACGAGAAACGCTAACGTGATGCGTTGAACTTGTAACTTGTGTAAATAAATTTGATGCAGACATTGTCAGAAGCTTCATGTACTCATTGACGAAAGTACACATCTCTAAAATAGTGTGTCGCTAAAAAATCTGTTTCCTCAGCTCTCGCTAAGAGCGAACGATCTGAACGACGACCCAGACAGACTGACCAGGAACCTCATCCTTCCGGGAGAATGGTCCCTGCATGTTCAAATAGTCCAGAAACTGTGGCAAATATTCGGCAGAGCAGAGGTGGATCTCTTCGCGTCAGAGGAGAACGCTCACTGCCCTATATTTTTCTCAAAGAGCGAGGACGCGCTAGCCCAGGAGTGGCCCAGCCGCCCACTTTAGGCATTCCCTCCGGTCTCCCTGTTACCACAGGTTTTACAGAGGATCAGGGAAACACGCCACTCGGTGCTCCTCATAGCCCGGTTTGGGAGAGTCAGACTTGGTTCCCGGAGCTCACTCATCTGTCGCAGACAGCCCCGTGGCCCATTCCAGTCAGAGCAGATCTCCCCTCTCAAGCTCGCGGCACGATCTGGCATCCCCACCCTCAGCGCTGGGCGCTTCATGCATGGGTGATCAACAACTATCCGTTGCTTTGCCAGAGGTAGTGTTAAACACGATCATGAACGCCAGAGCGGCTTCTACAAGGAAGCTCTGTGTGTCAAAATGGTCTGTGTTCTCTAAATGGTGCACCGACAAAAACCTAGAACCCTCAGCGGTGCGACGTGTCGTCCTTGCTTGTCTTCCTTCAGGAGATGCTGGATAAGGGCAGGTCCCCATCCACTCTCAAGGTTTACGTGGCAGCTGTCGCGGCGTTCGCTGAACCCCGACGCACTCAGTCTCTGGGCAAAGATGAGCTAGTCATCCGCTTCCTCAGGGGAGCTAGAAGGATGAACCCCCGCGCACCCCTTCGGTTCCCAATTGGGATCTTTCAATAGTTCTCGAAGCTACGAAAGCCCCCCCCATTCGAACCGTTACAGTCTTTGGACCTATTTATTTATTTATTTATAATTTATTTTTATTCATTTCTGACTGCCCCGTCATCAGTAAAACGCGTGTGAGACCTTCACGCGCTCTCTTCTAGCGCAGCATGTCTCAATGACTCCGTAGTCATCCTTAAACCTAGACATGGCTATGTCTCCAAAGCGATTGGTACCCCGTTCAGGCCTCTACCCGCATCCGATAGCGAATGTGACGCCAATCTCCTTTTTCCGGTTCGGGCTCTGAGATTGTACACTACACGCGCTGCCGCATTCAAACGCTCTGAGCAGTTTTTTTGTTTGTTTCATTCGGTGGGCGCACCAAGCGTCTGGCACTGACACTATCTAGATAGATTGTGGACGCTATTGCTTCTGCTTATGCATCAAAAGACCTGCCATGCCCTCTGGGCATCAGGGCTCATTCCACAAGAGGCATGGCCTCATCGTGGGCATGGTCCAGCGGCATTTCCATTCAAGACATATGCGTGGCAGCGGGATGGACTTCCACCTTTGTCAGATTTTACAATCTGGAAGTACCAGCCCTGCAGGCAAAGCTACTAGCAGCCTAGTATGTTTCAGCTCCTATGTTGAGCTGCACTATTGGGAGTCACACTCATGCAACCGGCGTGCCGCTTGTTCTTCCCTCATGTGCTTATGTACTACACATTCACCTGGCCCTTTTTTTTCACGCACATTATTTTCCCACTTATAAGGGTCCCCCGGGATCGCTCCCCCGGGACTCATTGTGGAGTTGACCAGGTGTTCCCGTAGCGTAAGCTAGCTCTCGCAATACGAGAGAACCTCTCGTAAGAGAACGAATCAGTTGCCTAACGTAACCTCGGTTCTCTCTAGATGAGGGAACGAGTATTGCGTTCCCGGCCGTGCTTGCGCTACTAGTGTTCTCGCTTCATTCAATGAAAACAGCGGGAAACTCGCCTATTTATAGACTCGGGCCACGCCGTTTGGCGGGCTTTGACGCAATGAGAGCGAGTCTGCTTCTCATTGGCCACGAGTTCAACCGAGTTCCCTCATAGGCTGTAGCAGTTCTCCCTGAGCGAACCTATGAGCTGCTAGCTAGCCCGCTCATGGTCTGCTGCAGTGAACTGCACTGACAATGGATACAAAATTAAAGGATAATTGAATAAATGAATTGTGGAGATTAGAAAAAAGAGGTATCCAAAGAACCCCACTGTCACCAAAACAGAAGAAGAATGTTTAACCTGACTTTATCCAATGTTTATTGAGTTAATATTTACCTAGCTTTTTATAAAGCCTACTTTGCCTTATGATTAATCAAACGGGGCAAGAATATAGACCATTTCACAAGATGTAAACAACACTGGTCCAGAAGCACTTCCTGTTTCAGTTTGTAACTGTTTTCTTTATTTCACATGTAAAGAAAACACCTTAAAGATGTTTGTTTAACTTTTTGATTCAGTTTTAAATGTTCTGTTGGTTGTATTTTATCCCACCTTTTATGTAGTGTTAAAAAACTGAAACAGGAAGTGCTTCTGGACCAGTGTTGTTTACATCTTGTGAAATGGTCTATATTTAAGATATATTTAACTATATCTTTTAGTTAAAAATGACACCTCTCTGCTCAGAAAGCCGTATCAGTTTCTATCCATATATAGAAATGTGTTTCACTGTTTTAGTTGAACAGCTGTATCTCAGTTTCAAATCTACTCACTGCCAAGATAAAAAAAGAGAAGTATAAAAGATAGTTCACACAAAAATGAAAATTCTGTCAGTAATTACTCGCACTCATGTTCAACCCCGTAAGACCTTCGTTCATCTTCGGAACACGAATTAAGATATTTTTGATTAAATCTGAGAGCTGGATCACTCCTCCATAGGCTTCTAATGTATTGAAGCTTGCCAGCCCCGAAAAGTTATTTTTTATTTTTTATCCTTTATTTAACCAGGTAAAACCCATTGAGATTAAAAATCTCTTTTGCAAGCTGGCCAAGATAGGCAGCAAAATTACATCACATCATTGCATACGTACAAAGACACACATATAAAAGCCGATTATGCACTTATGAAATCTCAACGAAAACATTGACATGTGAGGGAGTCCAACTCAAAACTTCTCATTCTCAACTTAAAAACACTTAAAGGAATCAATTTACTAAGTTTTAAGTTGTTCTGCAGTAAAATCCATGTAGAGGGAGCAGAATAAACAAAGGCCTTTTTACCCAACACAGTACTGACATGTGGGACAGAAAACAAAACAACATCTTGAGAACAGAGAGAGTAATTACCAACACTTTAAAAAGACATCGTTATAAAAAGACTTATAAAAAGACATCGTTAAAATAGTCCCACACTTTTCATAATACACATCCTATGCATATTTATGTTCACTGTTTTGCTTTAGTTATAGTTTCAAAATGGAATCTGTTGCTGTCATAAGCTGTCAAATGCTATATTACTGTAAAAAAGTTGTTTATCTGAGAGAAATAGCCATTCATCCCTCTTTTGAATTCTGTATCATAGTATTGTGTAACTTGTAGGAATGTGTAAAGGCCCATTTATTTTCAATTGCGTTTATAGGAGCTTGAAAAGAAAATTGACCTCATGTCGACCTTATGTTCATTCAGGGATTGGTTCACTTGTTTTGTTTTTAAAAAAATAGTTTATTCATCTATTTATTTGTATTTTTTTTTACTGACATGAAACAGTTCTTCGCAACAATTCATTCATTAATGAATCCACAGTCCTGTAGAACTTTAGAAACAGCAGGCACAAGATCTCCGGCATAGTCATTCAGATGATCATCTCTTACAAGTTTTGTGTTTGTTGAGTATGATTTGATGTGATACATGCGAGCGATGGAGTTCTGCACTCTTACTGTGTAGTAGCGTTGATGTTTCACAGTTTCCTCAATGCCATGTACATTAACCCTCAGAACTAGCCGAGGATTTACTATAATCTTGAAATTGTCTAAACTAATGGGAACTTCTCGCTCTATACAGTTTAAAATATTCATACCCCGTACATTTTTCCACTTGGTTTGTCCATAATCAGGTTTTGCGGTACAAGGGAATATATTATTCTCAAACTCAAAGCCCACATTAGTGCCATACGTGTTCTCAAGCTCACGCAACAGATCTGTCCAGCTCTTCACCTTGAGAGGCAGAATGAACTCATCCATGTCATGTAGAGCCAGATAGCGACTTTGGTACATGTAACGATAAACACAGTCATTAAGTGCAGGAATTTGCCCATAATAATGCAGCTGACCAGGTGAGTCACTCTTCCTCCAGCCATTAGACACATTGATGTGCTTTTTAATCGTCCATGGGATGATCTCCACAAAACCACTTTTCACATAGTAGTCCAGAACCTTCTGTATGTCTGAATCACAGTTGGTTTTATATATCACCACCCTTTGAGCACCAAGCAGTCTGAACATCTCCATCGCCTGGACTAATCCCAGCACATTCTCGTAGTCATACATGACAGAGATGCAGACTGTAAACGAATACGGGAAGACTGTTGGAACGTCTCTGTTTCTAATGGGTTGGAAGGATGTTATGCTGTCCGAGATCTCACTGGCTGTTAACGCAACATGCGTCGGTGTCGAACACGAGCTATGGATCTGGCATGTGATAGTGGCAGTGCCGTACTCAAAATCAAAGTGGTCGTAGTGAATTGTGTATTCGGCTGGTGAAGTCACGTTCCTCCCTTCGCAGCACATCACACACCTGTACGTCACCTTCTCATCACGGAGAACGATAGCAATCATCTTTATCTGTTTCACGTTGAAACGATGATCCATATAAGAGCCGATCACATATGTGTGAAGGCTCCCGACTTTAATCCCAGGATCGTCCTCCACTTGAACGCCACATGCTTTCGGAGTGGGTTTGGGGTAGATATGTGTGGGTTTTGGGTGGATCTGTGTGGGTTTTGGGTGGATCTGTGTGGGTTTGGGGTGGATCTGTGTGGGTTTTGGGTGGATCTGTGTGGGTTTGGGGTGGATCTGTGTGGGTTTGGGGTGGATCTGTGTGGGTTTGGGGAAGATCCGTGTGGGTTTGGGGTGGATCCTTGTGGGTTTGGGGTAGATCTGTGTGGGTTTGGGGAAGATCCGTGTGGGTTTGAAGATCTGTAAGATTTGTTTGATGATCTGTAAGATTTGTTTGAAGATTTGTTTGATGATCTGTAAGATTTGTTTGATTTTGAAGTAGATCTCATCGGATGGCAGTATGTATAAATGTAAAAAGCATGCTGCAGAAATAAAAATGACCAAAACACAGATCACCGGTCTATTCGTCATTTTAAATCGATTGCTTTTGATTCACTCTTCAGTTAGTCATATTCCATCGCGTTTCCCTAGAGAAAAGAAAAAGAAAAAACACATTTATGGTTGTCTCTAAAAAAGCTTTTGGCTTTAATGGACAAATGCACTTGTTGCTGGGATGTGAAATCTTGCACAAAATAACCACAACCCAAGAAGTCAGACTCAAAGAAACACATTTTTGTGTTGTTTTACTGTTTTAAAATAAGCTGAAACAACACAATTTTGGCTTATTTAGTCACAATTTCATTTTATTGTGTTCAATACACTTCCATAAATGTTGGGACTTTAGCTAAAACACAAACTAAAACTGAGCAGTGCATTTGCATGCTTTGCATAGGATAGGATTGAACTGGGAGGGTAAGTGTTGAAATTGGGTGTTAATATAATTATAATGGGTGTAATTATTAAAGGGGTGGTTTACTGCTTTTTTTCTTTGAACGATTGTGTTTATGGGGTGCAATATAACATGTATTCGTGGTTTTTCTTTTTTAAAATCTTATTTTTCATAAATTTCACCTTTTGGCTAAACTGTAGCTCACATTGTCCGGATACTTAAGGGCCATTACCTTTACGGGCGAAACGTGCATGTGATCCGGTCCAATGTAAATATTGCTGTCGAAACTGCAGTATCAGTATGAGCCAGAATCAGTCAGACCTTTTTTGCCAAAGCAGAGACATCCAACGCTCATGGCACCCTTTAGCGTCAAATGAGGAGATATATATACATGGGCCAGAAGACACCTCCTAGTGGTCTAACCCCAACCCTAGACCAGAACTGACGCCTTAAGATGAGAATGCGTTGTCTATTCAATGTAGCCAATACATGAATAAAACTATTTAAATAAATAGTAAATACATTTATAGTCTTTAATGACCTATTTAGGGCCCAAGCCCTGAAAGGGCGAATTGTTTTATTGTTTTCCTTGGGATTTTTTTTTCTTTCTAACGATTATTCGGGCAGTTTTGGGGCCCTTAATGTGCTTTAGAGTAAGAGTAATTAAAGCGATTTTACAGCGTAACCTTCGGTAATTATAGTGTACCTATTAATAACGTACTGATAGATTGTATTTTCAGTCATCAGATTCATTTACATTGTGCGAGCCACCCAAACCACTGCTCGGCAACACCAAAATCTAACAGTACTTACAATATAAGTGGAAGGGAAGAATATTTTAAGTTTGGGGAATAAAGGGGTAACAACCAGGAGAATTAAAAAAAACCTGATTTATACTGTAAGTATTATAGACCTTATTCAGAGCAGCGCCATGACAGGTATGAAAGTGAGGCTGTGAGGGATAGACTTACAGTGTTTCCACTGGCATCCGCTGTAAAAAGCTGAATAAAGCTCCTAAAATTTTCCTCAACTTACATTGTCAGGAGTTTTTTGTCAACTGAAATTTCTTGGAAAGATATTTTTCCAGTGTTTCATGAGCAGAACAATCCAAAAACACAGTACAGCCCATTGAAGAGATGTCTATCCCTCACAGCCTCGCTTTCATTCTCATTAAAAATCAAAGATGGCGCTGCCGTGAATAAGGCGTATAGAACTAAGGGGTACTTATTCTATTATTAATGATATAACAATTTACATTTGGGAGCAATTTAGCAAGAACATACCTTTTTGAAATAATGGTGAACCAGTACTGTATAGGCTTTTTAAAAATTACAGTGCACATATCTATGCATTTATAATATTTTTAACAAAAGTGCACTGAAAACAAAAACTATTGCAACATTTGCTTAAATTTTGGGGAAAGATACTCTTGTTTCATGTAGTGGTGCTTGTTGTTACCCTCTTGTTCTATGTAGTTACTGGGTACAATAAAAATGCAAACACAATCTTATATCACTGACTCAGAAACCTTTATTTATTATACAAGCACCACTTACCCTGTAACCACATGAAACCAGATATATTTCCCAGTATATTTAAAAAAAAAAAATAGTATTAGCTTTTCTTCCCTTGAAACATGTTAGCCCAAACTTAAACATCTGCGCTTTTGCTATAAACTTTTTCATTTTATATATATATATATATATATTTTTTTTTTATAAATGCATAGATGTACCCTGTCATTTTTTAAAAAGCCTACACTGTTAGACCTTACCAGGTTTTTTTTTTACAGTAAAATACTGGCAACAGGCCAAATTCTGACACTATCATACCATTTTCCATTAAAACAGTAATATACCGTAGAAAACAAAAGTAGCCTACAGGAATATACTGTGAATTAACAGCTCTCAAAGTCGACACTCACAGACTGTGTTCATAATCACACCCTATACCCTAGGCGTGGGCGATATGGAAAAAAATATCATATCACGATTTTTTTAGGAAAACATTTTTTATCACGATCTTTTATCACGATTCTTTTTCAAGTTGGTTTTAATATTTTGCAAGTGGCTGTTCATTACAGCCAAACTAATGTCCCTATGTATTGATACACAATTGTTACAAAAAGGTACACAGTGAATGTTCTCGCTAAATTGCTCCCAATTGTAAGATTGTTGTATCATAATAGTAGAATAAGTACCCCTTAGTTCTATAATACTTAGAGTAAATATATATTTTTTTTATTTCTCCTGGTTGTCACCCCTTTATTCCCCAAACTTTACATATTGTTCCCTTATACTTACATGTAAGTACTTTATAGCTACACTAAAATTACAGAAAGATACACTGTAAATTCCTCTTAATTACACAGTACTTTCCGGGCTGTTACCGAAGATTCTTACAGTGTAGCTATAATTATTTATCTTTTACAATGTCAAATGATGTACTAAACATTTTGTTCAGTCTTGTAATACCATTGGACTACAAGAAAATGGGAAAATGCCAGACAATAAAAAATAAGTTTAGCCTACCTCATGAAAACATTGCGACAGAACTGATTAGCATTCGTCAAAAAGCACATTTTATAATCCGTTAAGCTCTTCAGATATAACTTGCTGAAACGCGTTGATTTCACCACAAACTCCCGGCATGAGAACTAACAGTTTCATGTGCCATCTGTTGTCTCAAGTATTTGTCAAAGACAAGCGAAATAAATAAATAAAAACAGGCTATATCCTCATCATACCTAAATAGGCCAATAATTTACTTAGCCTATTTGAACTATAATTACAAATAGGCTAGGCCTCCTTTGTTTTTCAGAAAAGTGATCATACCCAGTTTCATCATTTCAATTGTCTTTTGAAAAACAACTTGTTTAACACAACTACTTCTCTTCTCATGTTTCTAGGCTACTATGGGCCACAAGGGAAATATCAAGAAAATAAATGAAGACTATATTTTAGCCTAGCCTACCGTTATCAGCACGTTAAGTAGATTCCGCTCTCCTCGTCTCTGAGATAATTAGTTCAGCTCAACAGTTTTTACTTTCATTTTCTATTGACCGCGGTCAAGCCAGCCGCAGTTTGAAAATACACGGTCAAGCCAGCCGCTAAAAAAATAATTGGGTTCAGTTGACTGGATTGTTGACGGGGGAAGGGGGGGATGAGTTGCTCTTGAAAGCCATTTTTTTAACGGTAAGATATTGTGCTGTCCTAGCCGAAAGATGAGCAGTCGTGGAGGATTCTGTGGTCGTGGCTCCTAAACGCTGTACAGTGAGAGAGTGTTTCAAAGTGTCTCAATCCTGAGATCCTTTTCTGACAGTATCAGAAAGTGCGTTTGCTGTTAACTTACGTCCTACATCTACTGACAACCCAACGAAAATGCAGCATGAATTGGCGTATTGATCAACTCGACATCGCACTAAAACCAGAGGTGGGCTTTATTACTTGAGTAAAAGTACAGATACCCCTTGCTAAATTTTACTCAAGTAAAAGTAGGCTCGCTGCAGCCAGTAGCACGATGACGTAGCTGGATGGTCCAAATACGTAGTGGACACTGTAACGTAATATAATCGCTTTTAACAATTTAGATTGTTTCAAAGCTACGCATATAATTTAATGTAACAACAGAGTTTTTTTTGGCTTTTCAGCGGTTCGTGAATAATGTTATTTTCCAGCTAAAGTTAGTTTTGATTGATTCACTTCTGTCGAAATGATAATTTGTTATTAAATTATGGGACGACACCGTTCTCTCTAAACAGACTTTAAACCTGTGATAAACGCTGATGGCACATGCACAATTTGCACATTAGATTACTGTAACAAATGTATTGATCATAGTTCGTAAATTAACTAATGTTGTGAAACTTTATTGTAAAGTGTTACCCATACTTTTTACCGCATAAGAATAGTGAAAATTAATTAAAAAAATGATAATATATATATATATATATATATATATATATATATATATATATATAAAACTGATTAAAGTATGTCCACCTGCAATCATTAGATTTTGCAGATTGTCCTTTTCAGGTTATTGCTATGTAAATATTGCATTTTTGTTCCAAGTGATGATTGTTTTTAATCACAAATGCTGGGCATTCTACATTGTAATAATTAAAAAAATAAATGCAATTGTTTGCATACATAATCCTGGTGAAGATCGCTCTTTGGATATTGGTGTGGTGGATGTGATTTTTTCCTAACTTAACCTGCAAACTAAAAAAAAAACCCTATTAAATCAACACTGAAGCACACATCGATCAGATTCAGACGTCTCTCCTCCTCCTCAAAAATAGCGTGATTTTTCATTTTTCCCCAAATCACTCGTAGTGCATGTACATTAATCACGTGATATTTGTTACTTTTCACAGCGCTGGTCAACTAGACCAATCACACGAGTTATTTTTGTGTCAATCTCCCAGGAAATAGTGATGATTGCTGGTGCAAGCATACTTTTGTACGTCAGCCTTCTGTCCTCGAAATTATTATCTTCAAATTATTATATGTTCTAGTATACACACGTAAAAACGCCGTGTTGTTATATTTGTTTGGCATGCTGAGCCTCCACACAATTATTCTAAATATTTTATTTATAAATAATTATTTATAAAAAACGAATATATAAACATAATTAACGCGAAGCAATATAACTAAAGCCAGATATAAATAAAAAGACTCATTACAAACTGAGATAATTACTACGTCATCGCACTACAGTCCAATCCTGAGCTTATCCGGATACTTGACCCGGAAGTGATGTCTGCTGCGATTTGATTTCTCCTGCTATTTTTGCGATGCTAATTATAGTTTCGATACCGGCAGCTTCTCGCTTAGACGTCTAAATGTGTTGATAAATGTTTATATTTGTCTTTTGTTACCTATCTATTTAAGTAAAGATACCGCATATTTGAAATGGACTTTTTAAACCAGAGTGGGTCCAGACAGCGTAAGTTACGTACGTGATTATTTGTGATTTGTGAGTTATGAAATACTATTTAAGACACCCATTTCATTATTATTTGAATATTAGCCTATCTGACCAGTTGTGTGCTTTTTCGGTTGTTAAATAAGTGTATATTCACAGCAATAGCAAATTTAGGCATGTTTCTTCTTTTAATTTAAGTTAACGTTACTAGAATCTCTATTCTTGCTTTTTTCTCTCTGTACCTCCGCCTTTACAGTTGTTTACAAACATTAAATACATCAAAAATCTGCATTCTACATGTCAGATGATTTGAATTGACCCTTAAGGTTATTGGATAAACCTACCTGACTACTTGGGACTGTGTGCTATGGACATGTACAGTCATTTGTTTATGTCATGTGGATGATAGCTGACTTTGATATGATTCTTGTGTTGTAGAGCCGAAGATCAGGATGCGAGGCCCCTCAGGGGACCCCAGTGACCCCAGCCCGTTATTTGACGACACTAGTTCGGTGGTGAACAAACACGGTCACGGCGACGTGGGGAAAGGGCCTGATGCGTATCCAGGACAGGCCTTTCTGTCGGACCCCATGTCTAACCTCGCCATGGCCTACGGCAGCAGTCTCGCCACACACGGCAAAGAGATGATGGACAAGAACGTATGTGATAGCTGTCAGACGAGTATAAATGATCATGAGCTGTGTGATGTGCATTCGATCATTAATGGGCTAGGATGTGTGTTTGTTGTGGTGTAGAAGAGCATGTGATGTTCATTGCTGTGTTGAAACAAGGCCCATATTGTTGTGGGATCAGAATCAACCCTGCGGCTCCGATTAATATCGCATTCTGCATTTTGATTAACTGCTATTTTATTGTAGTAACATGCTTCTCTTTTTGGTCCACAGCTGGATCGATTCGTCCCCATCTCGAAGTTAAAGTACTATTTTGCAGTAGACACGGTTTATGTTGGCAAGAAGCTTGGACTGCTGGTTTTTCCCTACATGCATGAAGTAAGACCACCACCACATTAACAGACCTGTTTCTAATAGGGACGTGAGGGATTTTGAACATTTACAGGGGCTAGTCAGTGATTTTATTGCCGTCCGAATCTAGAATGTCAGTGTTTTTCTTCCACCACCCACGTATAAATCCTCGGCCGAATTACGTACTGTTTTTTTGTCAAACACCAAGGTTGTGAGATTGCCGTCTGAATCCACATTTCTGAGTTTACATAGGAATCAATTCAAAATTCAAGGTTAAATCCATTTTGACCACTGCATAACACCATAACTGTTGCGCTTCACGTAAGCATTTGAAAGATGTACCCTTTTATTACTGAAATGCTGGGAAGTATTTATGAGAACAATATTTCATCATCTCTCCACCTATGAAAAAAAGCACGTCAACATTTGAAATGAGGCGTTACAGCAATACACTTTTAAATTGTATTAGGGCCTATACAATTACATTAAAAAATAAACCAAACAGCTTTGTTTACCTAATATAAATAAGAAGCTGCAATAAATTATTTTTTTCTAATTTCCAATTATTTTCCTAATTTCAAGCATGTCTAGCTTCCAATTTTTAAAGAGGAGATTTTAATAATCACACAATAAATAGGACATTTAAATATGAATTTATCCGTATTATTCCAAGCACATGACATTTTGTTTACAGCGTACTGTCTGCTGTTAATAAAATGTCATGTGCTTGGAACAATCCTGGGTTCGTAGGATCACAAAACTCGCTCCTCCAAATCGCCATCCGTACGGTATGCATGAGTTTTATCACTGAGGTGTCATGCAAATTCATTTTTACAGACGTCAACATGAGAAACAATTACTGCCTGAATAGGGCTCTAGATAGTGGGGGGTTTTTCTTAAAGGGATAGTTCACCCAAAAATGTAAATTGTCAATACTTACTCAGCCTCAAGTTGTTCCAAACCTGTATATTTCTTCTGTTGAAGAACACGTAAGAAGATATTTTAAAATGATGTTGGTAACCAAACAGTTGACTGGAAGCCATTGACTTCCATAGTAGGAAATGAAAAATACTATTGAAGTCAGTGGGTGCCATCATATATAATATATACACTACACCGGTATATACACTACCGGTCAAAAGTTTTAGATCAGTAAGATTTTTTATGTTTTTAATTGAAGTCTCTTCTGCTCACCAAGGCTGCTTTATTTGATGGAAAAAAAAAAAGACAAACAGTAACATTGTGAAATATTATGACAATTTAAAATGACTGTTTTCTATTTTAATATATTTTAAAATGTAATTTGAAAGCTGAATTTTCAGTTTTCAGTGTCACATTATCCTTCAGAAATCATTCTAATATGCTGATTTTATGCTCAAAAAACATAAATTATTATTTTCAATGTTGAAAACAGTCGTGTACCATTTTCCCCCCAAAAATTCTATGATGAATTGAAAGATCTAAAGAACAGCGTTTATTTAAAATATAATCTTTTCTAACATTATAAATGTCTTTACTGTAACTTTTGATCAATTTAACTCATCCTTGATGGATAAAAGTATTTTCTAATTTCTTTCCCCCAAAAATAAAAAATAAATTCTTACTGACCCCAAACTTTTGAATGGTAGTGATTAATATTACAAAAGCTTTCCATTTCAGATCCATTCTGTTCTTTTGAACTTTCTATTAATCAAAAAACAGTTTTCAACATGGATAATAATCATAAATGTTTCTTGAGCATCATATTATAATAATTTCTATAGGATCATGTGACACTGAAGACTGGAGTAATGATGCTGTAAATTCAGCTTTGATCACAGGAATAAATTCTATATATTCAAGTAGAAAACCGCTGTTTTAAATTGGAATAATATTTCACAATATTACTGTTTATTTTTATTTGTTTTATTTATTTTTTTTTTTTTTATCAAATAATTGCAGCCTTGGTGAGCAGAAGAGACTTCTTTTAAAAACATAAAAAATCTTACCAATCTAAAACTTTTGACCAGTAGTGTGTGTATATATATATATATATATATATATATATATATATATATATATATATATATATATATATATATATATAATGTGTATATATATATATATACTGTATATATATATATATATATATATATATATATATATATATATATATACTGTATATATATATATATATATATATATGTATATATATGTATATATATATATATATATATATATAAAATGTATGAAGTTGCCTTTCTTGTCATTTTTTGAGATTGACAGTTACTGGTAACTTGGACTGAATATGATGACAGAATTATTGTTTGGTTTTCATGCGTGTGTCCTGTCCTCTCTCTGTAGAACTGGGAGGTGAGCTATCAGCAGGATACACCAGTTGCTCCACGGTTTGATATCAACGCCCCAGATCTGTACATTCCCGGTATGACTCCAAGCCATATTCTATTATAATAATAATAATAATATCTTTCAATTCATGAACTTTACTAAATGATTTGCTATTTAAAAATTCAAAGGGTCTTATTATATGTTGATGGGAACGTGTACAGTCATGGAAATGTTCACTGAATTATTCATCTGTATGTGTTTGTTTGTCTCTGGCTCCGCAGTGATGGGTTTCATTACGTATGTCCTGGTTGCTGGATTGGCTCTGGGCACACAGAACCGGTAAGAGCCAGTTTGGTTTATCTATTGCAGATACTGCGAGAGTTCAACTGTGTGGGAATGCAATGCTTACGCCAAGGTCATTAGAAGACAAATTAAACATTTACCCTTGAGCCCTTAAAGGGTAACTAAACCAACTTTTTTTAGTTACTGATCTGTAAGAATGGGGCTTTATTAGTGCTGATCATTGATTTGAGAAACTTTTTTGACGTTTGGGTATAAAGTGTTTTAATTCTACAATATATGGTGTAAAAACGTCTTAGTGCTGCCCTCTTCAGGTTGAACGGTGGCTACTGCGGTGGTAAGCGTGATGTAAGCAGATTCCAGCTCGCCACGACCTCGGCCGTTTAAAAAACATCCAGAAACTATCTTTGGAAAAAAGATATGTGAAGTGTAATTTAATTGTTTAATTCGTCTCACGTCCCGTTGAATAACACGGGGAGGCGGGGTTTCTGAGCTATACTAGGACCGGCCACCAGGGGGCGTTCGAGACAGTATTCAATGTATTTAGGCTATATACATGCCATCAAAGTCAGAAAACACCAGACTTGAAAAGACTTGAAACAGTATCCTCCATAAGCACATGCAGAAGAAATAAAGAAATACATTTTCTAATAAAGATATTCATTTTGTTAAGGAAAAATGACTAATGTTTGAATGTTCTACCTCAGATTTCTACCTCTCTTTTGCCAGTGTTTGTCATGATATGTTCTGACAATAAAGACTAGTTTAAACCACAATTAACGCTCTAGCTTCTACAACTTTTAGTTAAGAGCAAAAATCTGACTTTAAGCTTTTTTTATTGTGATCTATATCGATTTTGACTGAAGTGTTGTTCCTGTGTTATTGATAGGAAATGGGAGCCTTCCGTTTGTTTCTCTTAAGAAAATGGAACATTTAAATAACGAAACATTACTTTTAATGAAAGTCAATTAAAAAAAAAATCATAATTTGTGTAGGCCATAAATTTAAATCATAATGGTCATAAAAAGGTCTTAAATTTGACTGACTAAACCCTGCAGAAACCCAGTTGCAATGTGTGTGGATAAATAATTTATATTGAACACTGCAAAATTCCTTAAAAAAACAAGAATTATCAGTTTTTTATTTCATGGAGGCTTTAAATATGTATCATTTCCTGTCCGAATGGTCCCAGAATGGACCTGAAGCTTCATTTATCAGATGTATTATCACGAGAGGAACTGTGTTTTAATGATGCAGGACTTTCAGAGGGGAGAGGAGACTTCCTGTAATTGTCCTGACTGCTTGTGACCTCGTATTGCTCAATGCTCTCGGTTTTAAGTCATGACTCTTGACCTGATTTTGCTTCTCTGCTCTTGATTTCAGGTTTTCTCCAGAGATTTTGGGCATTCAGGCCAGCTCGGCCCTGGTGTGGCTCATCATCGAGGTTCTGGCTGTGCTCCTCAGTCTTTATCTGGTAACCGTTAACACTGACCTCACCACCATCGACCTGGTGGCCTTTTCTGGATACAAATATGTCGGGTGAGGACATTGGTTCTTGTGTTTACCCTAGATTCAACACAATATCATCATCTGGTGTTTTGGACTCTAGGTTGTGCTATTGAGTAATATTTGCTGCACAATTAGCTGTATATCTTTTTAAAAAATACATTGAAGTGAAACTGAAAAATAAAGTGAAATGAAATTAATTTGCGTGTATCGTTTCCCAGTATTGTCCTCATACCTTATATAACTAGTATTACTAATCTAGTTTACTCCAAAACTCATTAATTGACAACTTTATCATCAGTGGAAAAGGAATAGGTTTTCTCCAAAGCTGTGTAAATTCCTGCGGTGTGTGTTTGGTGTTTCCTCAGGATGATCGTGGGAGTGGTGGCAGGACTTGTGTTTGGCCGGATGGGATATTACCTCTCACTGCTGTGGTGCTGCGTGTCTATCTTTGTCTTTACGGTGTGTATCGAGAGATAGATTCATATGGTGCTGTATTTTATAGTATAGCCTTATATTCATCATTTTGCTGAAGTTCAAACGGCCAGCCGTCGTGTTTCTGGTTCTTGGTTTTTGTTCAGAAAAAAAAACATCTGGATATTTTTAGCAAACTAGAAATTTAAAAAAAAAATCCTGACATTTTTATTAGCCTGAACAAAACACATTCACATGTTGCCTGCAACTGGATTTTTTACACTAAATGAATACTTTTATACAGCAAGGAAGACATTTGTAATTAAAAAAAATCTATTTTAAAAGAATCCTTTTTCCCCCCTAAAATTTATAACTGTTTTCAACATTGATAATAATCAGAAATTTTTCTTGAGCATCAAATCATCATATTAGAATGTGACTTTCAGATTTGCTCACAGGAATAAATTACATTTTACTGTAAATTTGCACAGAAAACAGCTGGTTTAAGTTGAATCATTTTTCACTTTTTATCAACTTTTCTTTTTTGACAAATAAATGCAGTCAAACGCATTTACATGTACAGTTAGTACAGTTAAAACATTGCATGCATTAAAACATCTTACCAACCTTAAACCGTTGACCGGTAGTGTGTATATAATATTTCTTTCCATCCATTGTAACCTATATATATATATATATATATATATATATATGAGTGAATTCACACATCAGCTACAGATGTTGCTGATGTGTGAATTCACTCATACGGCACATAGACATGTATTGAATGAAGTGATGCTTGAATGTCTAAACTATGCAGCAGATTTCAGTTACCAAGGTTCCCGGGTCCTTGAAATCCTTAAAAGTTTGTGATGCTGAAAATTTTTTTCAAGGCCTTGTTAAAAAAACAAAAACAAAAACATGCATAAATATAGGTCCTTGAAAGTGCTTGAATTATTTAGTGCAAGAAAAAAATCCATATTATTCCCTCCAATCCCCTAATGTATTATTTTGCCAACACTTTGTGGCCTATGCATGCTAGCTTGCTTGATTTACATTAGTTACGCACATTTACACATTAAAGGGATAGTTCACTTTGAAATTAATTTCACTTTGTTTCCGCAGTATTTTCAATTTTGATATTTTTAGGTCAAACCGTTCTTGTCTGTCAGTCATATAATGGAGGTCTATGGTCACCACCTCAAAGAGCATGCACAGAGAAGTCCAGATTAAACATGATTTAATGACTCGTAAATGTAAGTACACATTGATGGCCTAAGACACGAAACGAGCGGTTTGTGTGAGAAAACGAACAGTATTTATATTGTTTTTACCTCTTAGCCACAAAAGCGCCCGCGCTCTCATATCACTTGTACATGGCTGTGGTCACAAGAGGTAAAAACGATATAAATACTGTTCGTTTTCTCACACAAATCGACCAAAAATGTATTTCAAAGTGAACTATCCCTTTAAGTGTTTCCTATGTGAGGTAGTGTTGTATGTTGCCATGACAAAACAACTACAATGGTTTTAGTTCAGGCGAAACTGTCAAAAAAAAATTTGCATTATTGGATGTTTTTAGCAAATTGGAAATACAAAAAAAGTTCAAAAAACATTTTATTAGCCTGATCAAAACACATTAACATGTTGAACACTACATATGTGTCCCCACTTTAAGTCCTTGAATTTAAAGTGAACTAAGGTGTGGGAAATCTGACCTGTGACCTCTGTAACGCCTCCTGCTCCTCTGTGTCGCTGACAGATCCGAACGCTCCGGCTAAAGATCCTGTCTGAGGCCGCCGCGGAGGGACGGTTAGTGCGAGGAGCCAAAAACCAGCTGCGGATGTACCTGACCATGGCCATCGCTGCAGCACAGCCCGTGTTCATGTACTGGCTCACCTTCCACCTGGTCAGATAAGAGGAACGGCCACGGACAGAAGCTCAGAGAGCCAATTTGCACACACGTAATAATAAACCAATGGACACGTGTTGTGCAGCCTCATCATTGCACAATATGAATGATCTCAACTGTAATCGCCCAGCTGTCTTTTGTACATTTCTAGGAGTTTTTGTTGGGTTTTGTATTGTCTAATCTAATGTACAGTGCAATTGTATTTTATTTTTTTTTAATGTTAATGTCTTTATTTGCAAATTTAAACAAAGGGTGTTGTCCGGATGCTATGACTGCACTAGGCTGCCTATTTCCTGTCATAGTAACCACAAACCATGTGTGTGTGTGTGTTGCTTCTATACTAGTAAGGCGCTCTTTCTTGTTGCCACTAACAGATGCATAAAGAGTCTTTCTTGAGGTCAGACCTTCATGCTTAATGCAGGTTTTTACAAAAGAAACTAGCTTCATACATTTCAGGGTCAATTGCAGATTTCTTTCATAAATTGTACATGAAATAAACATGCTCTCAGGAGTTTTGAATTCAAGGCTAGTTTACTGTGGGTTATAGAAGTTATTTTAATAATAAATAAATATGGATTTACTAAGTAAAGTTTAAATCAATGTAAGCATACTAGTTTAATGGTGGTAATAGATATTATTCTGCAGAAATCTGCCTGTTCATAACTGGCTTCACGGTGTAATAATACTACAGAAACCGCTACTGTGGTGAAGGCTGATGTTGGCTACATAAGCAGTTACCTGTTATGTAAAGCATGTCCTGTTAGGCATGTTACCCTGAACAGTTTTGTTAGGATTGCCAAACAATCCACGAATGAATAAAGACAATGAAAGTGAATTCATCAATAAATTAATTATGGAGATAAAAAAAGAGGAATCCAAAATTGGCACTGTCTGCAAAACTGAATACTGAATTGTTTATTGAGTGAGTTTATATATTTACGTAGCTTTTTTAAAGCTTACTTTGCCTATTTAAACATAATATTTCAGAAAACGTCTAACACAAACCAATTGTCTTAAGGTAACATGATTAATCAACCAGGGAAACAATGTGGATATATTTTAGTAAAAAAAAAAAAAAAGTTTTGCTTTAATTTATAAAAGTGTGCAAGAAAAGGCACGACAAAGAAATGACACCTGGCTGCTCAGAAAAGAAAAGAAAAAACGTGTTTCACTGTTTTAGTTTTGCAGCTGTCTCTCAGTTTCAAATTCACTCACTGACAAGAGAAAAAGAAAAGATAGTGTAATCTTTGCTGATCTTTAAGGCTTTATAAATTCCAACCTGATTTCCCCAACTTGTGCACCGTTACACACTAACAGATGCTGTACAGAAGTAGTCAAGAAGAAAAAACAAATATAGTTCTACTAACAAGTGCATGTGTAATGGTCAAGTAAAGGCGTATTGCACTATATTTCATTGGTCACAGAATTCATTTACAATCATACTTTACTACACATCACAATATAATTTGCAGCATTTCATAAAAGAGGAAATCATTTCAGCATTTTTTATGATGTCAATTTACCAACTTGCACATTAACCATCTGTTTATGCCTCTAAAATATAAAAAGGACACCGTAAAATACAGTCTAATTAAATTCTGATTGTGACATATAATAAAGTTGTAATTATGAAAAGTAAAGCAGCAACTGTGAGAAATTTCCCTTTTGAAAAAACATCATATAAAAAAGAAAATGTATCGGATCCTTTGAGTTCTGCACGGAATGCTGTAATACTAACCGATTACAAAATTGGTCGGAGAGACTCGGCATTATAAACAGCAGGTGGAATATTTCAACCCCAGGGGTGGCAAGGTGGATTGCCACGGGCAAAACATGATTAGAGAGGCTTACAGTGGAAATACACCATGTGGGGGTCGCTCAGGGGAGGCACCTAGCCAACGGGCAGGCAATGCACACTGGCGTTGACGTAAACAGTGCTGGAGGAACTCAGGGTTGGCGGGAAGCTCACCTGAGGAGAATTTCGCACATGAGCGGATTATAGAATCAGGCGAATGTGTTGGGTGTCGCCAAAGTCCTTTTAGGCAAGTCCTGCCACTCGGCCGCCATCTTGGCAACGCCTCCGGGCAGCTATTTCGGACTAACAAGACCAGGCTCCTATCTAAATGAATAGGCAGAGAGTCAGAACTGCAAAATATGATAAAATTCGCTGAAAAAGTTTGATGACATTGCCCCAAAATAAGGTTTAAAACAGTGTTTTCCCCACAGGTTATAGTTTTACTACGCATGCGCAAGGGTTCTCTCGCGTTTGAAACACAGTATAGGTGCGTTCCATTCGACAGGGTCCCTACGCAGTGTTCACTGCTCCCTACTCCCTGAACACGGTATATCAGTTGAAGTGGACTTCACTGACTTCCTGTGAAGTGATGTATCGATGTTCCCTTATTCCCTATGCCGTTTGCAGTGCCCTTCGAACTGAACATCTTCGTTCCCTTCGAATTGGAATCTCACTTAAGATGGCGAAATACCCTCCACTTCGCAGTCCACTTACGGTCCAACTGAACGCACAGTATGTGTGCGCTCTAGCTCGTTCGCTCTAGATTCCGGGAGATGAACTAATTTGCGGGCATCAGCGAGCCGCTATCAATCTGCGGGAGACACCCGGAACTTCTGGGAGACTTGGGATGTCTGATATTTACACAACGCACACATACACTGCATATCAAATCTGCCGCCTTTTCAAACAGCTGTAAACCTCAACTGTGCGCATGCGTCGGTGGAACCAGACGATCGGCTTAAATGTTTTTCCCGGCTTGACTGTTAAAAGCACTCCAGCGGGAGAGGCGGGACATGTGCATACAACCGCCATCTTTGGTGTTACGGGTTTTCCTTATACATTTGTGTTAAGGATTGAGGAAGTGGCATGTCTCTCTATAAATAGTCTCTGATGTCGAATGTATCCCGTCCCTGTAGTGGAATGGCGAGCAAGCAAAGACACCTGAGCGGGTCCAGTTGCTGTCTAAATGGTAAAATGGTAAATGGACTGCATTTATATAGCGCCTTCATAGACCACCAAAGCACTGCATTTGCCTCACATTCACCGACGGTGGTGTCAGCCTTCCTTCAGCTTCCCACCATAACAGACAAATAGCTGCTCTTAGGCCCTGAAGCACAGCGTTCTGTCTTCGTAAGCATGGGGGGAGCGGCGCGTACTGGACAAAGAAGTGCCAAGGCTGGGTCTGCCTCCTCCAGGGGCAACACTTGCAGGTTCACCACCTGGTCCCGGAAGGGAGAGGTGGGAACCTTGGGCACATATCCAGGCCGAGGTCTCAGGATCATGTGAGAGTAGGCGGCCAGAACTCCAGGCACACTTCGTCAACGGAAAATGCGTGCAGGTCCCCTACCCTCTTAAAGGGTTAGTTCACCCAAAAATGAAAATTAAGTCATTAATTACTCACCCCCATGCTGTACCAACCCCATAAGACCTTCGTTCGTCTTCGGAACACAAATGAAGATATTTTTGATTAAATTTGAGAGCTGTATAACTACCACATTGGCTGCCTAAGGGACTGCCTCTTGACGGCCCAGAAAGTCAATGAAGAAAATGTTTAAATATCCCAAGTGACTACCGTGGCTCAACTATATGTTTATCAAGCGGCGAGAATACTTTTTGTGCGAAAAAACAAACAAAAATAACGAGTTTATTCGACTATTCCTTTTCTTCCTTGTAGGCCAGAACGAGACTTCCTTAGATTTCCACGACGCATGCGCGAGAACTGAACTGAAGTAGATGAAAAAGATCGCAATTCTCGCGCATGCGTCGTGGAAATCTAAGGAAGTCTCGTTTCTGGCCTACAAGGAAGAAAAGGAATAGTCGAATAAACTCGTTATTTTTGTTTGTTTTTTCGCACAAAAAGTATTCTCGCCGCTTGATAAACATATAGTTGAGCCACGGTAGTCACTTGGGATATTTAAACATTTTCTTCATTGACTTTCTGGGCCGTCAAGAGGCAGTCCCTTAGGCAGCCAATGTGGTAGTTATACAGCTCTCAAATTTAATAAAAAATATCTTCATTTGTGTTCCGAAGACGAACGAAGGTCTTACGGGGTTGGTACAGCATGGGGGTGAGTAATTAATGACTTAATTTTCATTTTTGGGTGAACTAACCCTTTAATGGAGGCCAATGCAACCAGGAGCGCTGACTTAACTGACAGGAACTTACAGTAATCTCCACTGATTGCAGAGGCTCAAACGGGGGACTCTGCAGGGCAGTTAAAATCACTGAGGAGGGAACGAGAGGAGGGAGAGGAGGATTCAGTCTCCTCGCTCCTGATGATCAGGTCGTGCTTCCCCATGGACTCACCCTCAACTGCGTGATGTACGGCGATAGCGGTAATGTACACTTTCAGGGTGGAGGGAGACAGTCTTCGCTCCTAGAGGACCTTGAAAAGAAAATTTACCTCATGTAGACTGTCCATTCATGATTTTTATTAATACTTCTAAATCAAATGTAACTCGCAACAATTCATTCATTGATGAATCCACAGTCCTTTAGAACTCTAGAAACAGCAGGCACAAGATCTTTGGCATAGTCATTTACATGATCATCTCTTATAAGGTTTTGGTCCGTTGGGTATAGGAATTTCATGTGGTACATCCGAGCGATAGAGTTCTGCACTCTTACTGTGTGGGATTCAGGTTTCACAGTTTCCAGCAGGCCATGTACAGTAGCTTTCAGAACTAGCTGAGGTCTTACTATAATCTTGAAATTGTTGAAAATATCGGGTTGGACTGGAACTCGCTCTTTACACTTTAAAATATTAATACCCTTTACATGTTTCCACTTTTTTTGTTCATAATCAGGGTTTGCTGTGCAAGGGAATACATTATTCTCAAACTCAAAGCCCACATTAGTGCCATACGTGTTCTCAAGCTCACGCAACAGATCTGTCCAGCTCTTCACCTTGAGAGGCAGAATGAACTCATCCATGTCATGTAGAGCCAGATAGTGACTTTGGTACATGTAACGATAAACACAGTCATTAAGTGCAGGAATTTGCCCATAATAATGCAGCTGACCTGGTGAGTCACTCTTCCTCCAGCCATTAGACACATCGATGTGCTTTTTAATCGTCCATGGGATGATCTCCACAAAACCACTTTTCACATAGTAGTCCAGAACCTTCTGTATGTCTGAATCACAGTTGGTTTTATATATCACCACCCTTTGAGCACCAAGCAGTCTGAACATCTCCATCGCCTGGACTAATCCCAGCACATTCTCGTAGTCATACATGACAGAGATGCAGACTGTAAACGAATACGGGAAGACTGTTGGAACGTCTCTGTTTCTAATGGGTTGGAAGGATGTTATGCTGTCCGAGATCTCACTGGCTGTTAACGCAACATGCGTCGGTGTCGAACACGAGCTATGGATCTGGCATGTGATAGTGGCAGTGCCGTACTCAAAACCAAAGTGGTCGTAGTGAATAGTGTATTCGGCTGGTGAAGTCACGTTCCTCCCTTCGCAGCACATCACACACCTGTACGTCACCTTCTCATCACGGAGAACGATAGCAATCATCTTTATCTGTTTCATGTTGAAACGATGATCCATATAAGAGCCGATCACATATGTGTGAAGGCTCCCGACTTTAATCCCAGGATCGTCCTCCACTTGAACGCCACATGCTTTCGGAGTGGGTTTGGGGTAGATCTGTGTGGGTTTTGGGTGGATCTGTGGGGGTTTGGAGAAGATCTGTGTGGGTTTGGGATAGATCTGTTTGGGTTTGGGGTAGATCTGTTTGGGTTTGGGTAAGTTCTGTGTGAGTTTGGGGATGAAGAGTTTGTTTAAGTATATCAGAAGTATAAAAATAAAGAGGACCAAACCACAGATCACCGGTATAATCCTCATTTTAAAAGTGATTGCTTCTGATACACTCTTCAGTTAGTCATATTCCATCGCGTTTCCCTAGGGAAAAGAAAAAACACATTTTATGGTTTGGCTTTAATGGACAATGTACTTGTGGCTGGGATGTGAACTCTGGCACAAAATAACCACAACAACAGTCAGACTCAAAGAAATACATTTTTGTGTTGTTTTACTGTTTTAAAATGAGCAAAAGCAACACAATTGTTGAATATTTTGCCACAATTTAATTTCATTTTGTTTAATACACTTTCATAAGTGTTAAGACTTTAGCTAAAACACGAACTAAAACGTACTCAGTAACTCAATGTAACCCTGGTTCTCTAGAAGAGGGGACGGATATTGCGTAAGTTGCTTACGCTACGGGTAAAGTCATCTTTTCTCGAGATATGAAGCCAAAAAATGTTCCTTAATTTTTGTATTTATTGTCAACGCAACAGCTAGCAGACCTAGAGCAGGCTGTCTAGCTTCTGTCTGTCTTTCTGTCTTACCTTCTTACATGCGATGTTATTAGGTTCTGTCATGTCCATTGTTGATAACAATGGCTAGAGAATCAATAATTCACTCGAGCAGCAGCTGCTTCATTGCGTCTTGTAAGAAAATGGTATTCTTTATCAAATAAACACTTCAGAAATAGTTGCATTTATTAGGATTAATGGAGTATTGTAGAAAATAATCCAAACTAGCCTACATATTTTAAAATTGTATTATATTTTACTGTCAGTCTGTCACAATGACGGCGTAGATTGTTCTTGTAAATACTTTCCAGCATTTCAGTAATACAATTGGAGGCCTACATCGTACGTATGGTGCTCAGCAGTGATCAAAAAGTGACAATTCCAATCTGTCCAATCAGGAACAATAAATCCCCTGATTCACTTTGCACATGCTCAGTTTAGTCCTTATTCCACATGTAATAAAGTAGAGTCCTGTGCAAACACAGCAGATGTTAGAGTGGAAAGAACAATTTTGAGGTATCTTTTTTTTACTTTTTTTGTTTTGTTGTTGTTATGGGAATTTCTGCTTTAGTTAAACTCATGAAATTTAAATTACATTTATTGTGTGTTTGTGTATATATTTTCATGCAAGTTGTTAGTGCTAATGTTTTGCCTGTTCATGGCTATATGACTCTAGTTGTAACAACAATTAAACATTACATTAATAATGTTAAACAATGAAACATTAGATTAATAATGGCCAATTACTATGACTAAGATCTTGACACACACAGACACATTTTGAAAAATCAGTGTTGAATAAAAAGCTGTCCAAATCCTTGTTTTTTGATGCTTTTTTGTTGTTGTTTTTTGTCAAAATCCTTATTTCATTATGTTACATATCACCCCGGTGGATCTCATAATGTTACATCTCACCACAGGGTATATGTTACAACTAACCCTATAGGGTGACGGTAACATTTCACGCTTCGAGTTTGGAACTAAACCATGCATTTTCTGTTTGTGTTGCAAATATAAAAGTTGTGATGTCAGTTGATAACAGACACTTAACTAGAATCACAGTTTGAACACATTGGCTTAAAAGTAGCTAGCCTACTCCAAGATAGACAGAGAGGTCAAAAATGTTATCCCTGGTCTACAATAATACCGATGCCCACCAATTGATTTAATTCGCCAATTAATTTAATTTGTCGTTTATTGAGATCTAATATGGTGGCAAGAATTTTCACGTGAATAGATCCGTCGAGAACACACGTGCACTTCAATGGTTCAGTGGCAGAACTTTTGTGTCAGATGTTCCGGGTTGTATTGCACTCGTATATTTTTTTCTTACTTTTGTTTCTCATTAAACCCGATTACGTTTACCAGTGGTTCAAGCAGGGTCCCTGCAGCAAGGACACTTTTGTGTGCATTTTACTTTGTAATTTCACTGAAACGAATAGCCTATTCTCCGTAACGGATTAAAGCGCTAATCCGAATGAAGACACAAGAACACTCAGGTTATCCGCGCCACTGATTGCAGAGTCAACGTGCACTTTGATCGCTTCAAAAACAACACATTTCAACGCTAGATCGTCTCTTTTTTAACAAACGAACGAAATTAGTGCTCTGCTAGTTAACTAGAGATGTTTTATTTATTTGTATTAATTTGCTGAAAAAGGTTAATTTCACCACGAACACCCGGTGTGAGTTTTCAACAAACATTTTCATGTGCTTAAGTGTCTTTCCTATTCTGTTGTGCAAAACAACGACTCACGTTTCTCAAAGACCAGCAAACAAATAAAAAATAAAAATAAATAAATAATAATCACAATAATTGCTCCGTATCCTCATCAAACCAAAATAGGCGATTAATTTAATTAGCCTATTTGAACTATAATTTATTGTAAAATAAATACCGACTATTTTCCAGAAAAGGGATCTTACAGAGTGTCATATTTGGGGGGGAAAAAAGATGAAGAAAAAGAGACAGTATTAGCCTCCTTCATTGCTATTGCTAGCTACTGTTTACACCAGTCAGAGAATGTTTTCACGACACTTGTTGGATTAATCTTTGTATAACGGATCACACAACGGACGAACAGCGAGGAAAATATGGCTAGAGGATTAGCTAGATTTGCTTCCTCTTTTCAAAAACCACTTGTTTGACACATACTACTTCTCTTCTCATTTTTCACTAGGCTAAGGGGCACAAGAGAAATATTAAGAAAATAAATAAGACCGTTATATTATAGCCTACCGTTATCAGCGCGTAGAACCGCTCTCCTCGTCTCTGAGATAACAGTCACAGTTCAACGTCAAAAGTTTTTACTTTCACTTTCTTTTGGGGGTTTGGTTTAGGGTTTGAGCAACCTCAAAAGCACCAATACACATCATTTTGAACTTAAACAAATTTAAATACCTCAAATAACCCGAGTCCCGGTCTGTGAATAGTCGTTTTATGTTTCCCGGCAGATGTTTATTTTTTTGCTTTATAGATTATTATGCAGTCCTAAATTTAACCAGATCATTAAATTTTATAGAATTCAATTTTACATAGCCTACAGTATGCTCAGTATCTACTTTATTTACTAACCTAATTGCTCTTTTTTTGTACCAAAACCACCTTAATGTGTGTTACGTGGTTTTGTGAACAATACAAAATACAAAATATAAAGTGCCTTTTTACTCAATACATGCCTTGTTTTCCCCATTACTCCAATACTCTGCACTATTTTTGTTTTGGGGTTTCCAACAGATTTTGGCATCCAGAATCACATCCAACAATTTATTTTCGTACACTCTTTCTATTTTGACATTATTAATCAATACTTTTACTTACGTGACAGTTTTAAGATTGCCAAATGTCATAGGTTTGGTTTAATCTACATTTATCGATAATCTTTTAAGTGAAACCAATTTATTATTAACCTATTAATTTCTGCTGTGACCACCTCCAAAAGCCGCTTTCCCAGAACAAAAAAATATTAATATCATCTGCAAAAAAATCACAAATTTTGATTTGAGGTTAGTCACCCTACATAGCCTATGTCATTATGTACATGATAAATAATTGTGGACCCAATATTGACCCCTGTGGTATACTCCACAGGTGATACCCAAGAGTTTACAATTGGGTTACTCATTTCTAATATTGAAATATCTACATGACATGTTTTGGACTTTGTTGTAGATAGGATTTAGACAAAGACCTTTCTCAATTGTGGTGCTGATCTGTGCAATTCAGTGATATTTTTCATCGTAATCGCCTAAATCTTACACAATGGGAGAACACAATGGCCAGTTAAACAGTAAAAGCCAATAATTAGCCTTCCATTATACAGAGAAAATGGACTAAAGTGGTCTGATTTCAGCAGGCTGTGGTCCTGACCCATGATGCTGACGTCCGATGTCCTGCCTTTATCCGGGATTGGACGACTGGAGCAGGATCAAATCTGTCGAGGGGTGGGCCATTCAAGTCCACGAACAACAATGCAGAAAGGCTCTTGGCACACAGTCTGTTTCTGGTGTGAAAGAGTGTGTCTTTGCATGCAGAAAATCCTGTCTCGCACTCCGCAGAGGCAAGGAGAACAGTGTTGCTTACCACAATACGTCTTTTTAACGATTCCCCTGTTTTGAGTCTCTGAACTCACTGACTGCTTCAGTAGCGGACACTCCGGGTAGTTTTGCAAAGGTCGCAACCTCATGCTCAGTTCTCCCTTACGAAAAAGTGTTTATTCAAGTGTGCCAGTATACTTCTTTAAAGAAAGTATACTTTCAGTTTATTTTTCCTGTACTTCTCAGAAGTATATAGTTCTCAGAAATATACTTCAAATTACACTTAAGTGTACTTGACTTATACTGAGAGAAAAGCAAGTAAATTTGTCCTGTTCTTGAGCTCAATCTTTTGATCCAGAAATACTTAAAAGTATAATTAAGTATTCTTGTATAAGTATTACAGTAAAAAAGTTAACTACTAGTATACCCATAAATTCACTTGCAGTACACATGAGATACATAATTATGAACTAGTTACACTTATAGTACACTTAAACATATACTTTTATGTACTAAAAGTGGGCCAATTTAGTCCCAAGCGGTATTAAAATAGTACACTTACAAGTTTACTAGTACATAGTGACATTATACATAATGTATACTTAAAAATATACTTGAACATTACTACATAAAATGAACTTGAAATATACTTCTTTGCTCTCTCTTCAGGCCAAAAGTGTTGATCCATTGGCTTCAACATAGTCAACAGGTCACTGTCGGGGAGACGCTTGGGGAGATTGTTAACGATTGCATGGGGCTTTGGTGAGAACAACCACTTTGAGCTGTATTTTCAGTTCCCCCTCGGTCTTTCATGGCAGAGAGCACCTCAATTGTTTGGAGAATGAAACGGTTTGCATCAACTAGAGAAGTGTCCTGTCTCTGCAATTTAAAGGAGAGTCCTTGCAGCCATTGACAAACCCGGTGGATGACAGATGGTTTAGCAAACCAGTATATGTTGAAAAGTATACACAAGAAAATCCTTGCAGTGTTGAAACTGCTTGCCCCTATCTTATTGATTTTAAGAATCTGCATGTTTAGCTCTGAAGCTCCAACTCCCTTGCGTTTTATTGTGGACTGATGGAAAAAATTGCATAGAGTTTGGAGAGGAAACACCCTGCAACCACTTTCAATGAGTCATTCACAGCTAATTCTTCACAGTGTACTGCCTGAAGTTGAGGAAAATCAGTTTCAGTCTTTCTATGAGTCCTGTCTGTGTCCCGGTTAGGACAGCAGCACTGTCTGTGGCTGTGCTTATTCAATTTTTCCGAAGAAACGTTGCATCCATCCCAGCCACTTGAAGATTGTTTTTCAGTGCGTTATATAGAGATTCTGCATCTGGTCCAACTCAACAATGTCAAAAAACAAATTGTCCAGGTCGCCCTTCCCAGTTACATCGCATTCACATAAATAATCAATTAAGCACGGTCATGAATTGTGCTTTTATCAAGTGTAACACTAAAACGGGAACCAAGTTCTCAACCATGTTCGAGTCAGCTCCCACTGGCTCCCGCATAATAACCTTGCATACATTTTTTTAGAAAACTGCGAGAGTAAGACAATGGCCTGTAATTCGTGAATTGATTTCTCTCTCCAACTTTATATAGTGGTAATAGTGGTATGACTTTAGACATTTTTATTTTGCTTCGGAATACATCTTTTTTGAAAGACAAATTATAAATATAAGTTAAAGGGTTAGTTCACCCAAAAGTCAGTATTTACTCACCCTCATGTTGACCTTCGTTCATCTTCGCAACACAAATTAAGATATTTAAGATATTAAGATCACTCCTGCATACTAGTCCGTAGGCTTCTTGAGGGAATGACAAAGTAAGATTCTGAGAACGTTTTTCTAACGTTCCATTTTGGTTGTGGGAACGTTATTTAAAATGTTCTAAAAACGTGGAAATGTCCAGTTTGCTTAACGTTGCTGGAACGGTGTCTTAATGTTTGCAGAACGTTGCTGGAACGTTAGCATAATGTTGTTAGAACGTTATCCTAAGGTTAGCATAATGTTGCTGGAACGTTATGAGAACGTTTATCAAACACAAATAACCTGATAAAGACGTTCCGATAACGTTGTTCTAAGAACGTTTTTATCAACGTAATGAGAACGTTCATCAAATACAAATAACGTGATAAAGACGTTCCAAGAACGTTGTTCTAAGAACGTTTTCTCTCAACGTTACAAGAACGTTAATAATGTTATATGAACGTTCCGAAAACATTATTTTAATAATGTTTTGTCCTAACATTTACACAACTTTTAAAGAACGTTAGTGAATGTTCTGGGAATGTTCTTAGCTCTTGCTGGCATCGAAAAGTCATTAAAGACATCGTTAAAATAGTCCAAGTGACTACAGCGGCTCAAGCTTAACTTTATCAAATGACGAGAACACTTTTTGTGCGCAAAAACAAACAAAAATAACGACTTTAGTTCAACTATTCACTTCCTTCTCTATGGGCCTGTAGTCAGTTAACGTAGTGTGATTGCGTAAAGCTACGTCACACGTAGGCTCACTATTGGCCGACGCTGGTCATGTGTGTGATGCGTGTGACGTACAATAACAGAAGCTTACGCTATTAAACTAGTAACCCGACTCGCGCAGAGGGAGAAATAAACGAATAGTTGAAATAAAGTCGTTATTTTTGCGCACAAAAAGTGTTCTCGTCGTTTGATAAAGTTAAGATTGAGCCGCTGTAGTCACTTGGACTATTTTAACGATGTCTTTAATGACTTTTCGAGGACAGCAAGAGTCATTCCCTCAAGAAGCCTACGGACTAGTATGCAGGAGCGATCTTAATATCTTAAATATCTTAATTTGTGTTGCGAAGATGAACGAAGGTCAACATGAGGGTGAGTAAATACTGACAGAATTTTCATTTTTGGGTGAACTAACCCTTTAATGGTTTAACAATTGCACCAATATCAATCACAATTATTCATAAACACCGTTCTCAGAAGTAAGCCAGGTATCACCTGGAATAGGTTGTTTAGATGATTTAGGTACACCGCGGAGGGCCAAAAACCAGCTGCGGATGTACCTGACCATGGCCATCGCTGCAGCACAGCCCGTGTTCATGTACTGGCTCACCTTCCACCTGGTCAGATAAGAGGAACGGCCACGGACAGAAGCTCAGAGAGCCAATTTGCACACACGTAATAATAAACCAATGGACACGTGTTGTGCAGCCTCATCATTGCACAATATGAATGATCTCAACTGTAATCGCCCAGCTGTCTTTTGTACGTTTTGGGTTTTTCTAATGCACAGTGCAATTATATTTTAATTTTTTAATGTCAATGTATTTATTTATTAGCAAGGGGTGTTGTCCGGATGCTATGACTGCACTTTGGCTGCCTATTTCCTGTCATGGTAACCACAAACCGTGTGTGTGTGTGTGTGTGTGTGTGTGTGTGTTGCTTCAATATTAGTAACACACTCTTTCTTGGTGCCACTAACAGGTGCACAAAGAGACCTTCATGTTTAATTGCAAGTTTTTACAAAACAAACTTGCTTCATACATTTCAGGGTCAATTATTGGACGGGGCAGTTTTTTTTCTTTCATACATTTCACATGAAATAAACATGCTCCCATGAGTTTTGAATGCAAGGCTAGTTAACTGTGGGTTTTAGAGAAGTAACTTCAATAATAAATAAATGTGGATTTACTAAGTAAAGTTTAAATGAATGTAAGCATACTAGTTTGATGGTGGTCTTCCAACCATCTGGATAATAATAATAATAATATAATGGCTTATTCTGCAGAAATCTGCCTGAC